GCTTGTCTTTAGTTTGTGTCTATTGTTATTTTCTCAATAGTAAAAGTAAACTTTATATTTGTTTAACGCTCATTGTATATAAATTAAAGCAATATTGTTTCAACCATATGGATGTCTTCTTATTTATGTATCAGTTTACAATTTTTAATTAAAAGCGTTATATGCAAATCATATTTGATATACATATAGTCCGACTATCTACATTTTTAATATTAAAGTTTTTTAAATTAATCTTTTACGTGCGACGCGAAAACGTTACAAGATAACCAACAAATAAGTAATAGTAAATCTTTGAATAATCCACAAAATGTCCGCGACATATAACGTCTTGATTCGTTTTTAAGCTAATCAAATTTGGTCAAAAGACGTTTGCCAGGTAAACTGGTGTTTAATAATGGACTTTGTAATAAGAATAGTAAACATTGGTATACAAAATAGCTTACTCAGAAGTTTACAAGCATATATTGAATATATTGAAGCCAAACATTATTTTGTTGAGACATTTAACCAACGTCGAATTGAATAAACCGCGGTAACAACAAAACGATGTAATTAGCGCCCATAGTGAACATCTGCGCTAAACTTCGTCCGGGTAATCTTATACGTATGTGCAAGACGAACTCCCAAAACTTGGCGGCGCTAATGAAAAAACTTGTCGGTTAATTTAGTGATTAACTCGAACTCCTCTCGTTTCCAACTCGCCCCTTTCTCCTCACATCTAATTAAACATACTACTTAACTCTACGTCGTTAGAGCGGGTTCAATTATAATATGCAAAATGCCTTTGAACTTCTAATAAAAAAGTCCGCCTTTTAATTAATCTTATATTCGTGACCGTTTTATCGCAATAACCGGGCTTTGACGGATAAACATTTAATCGTAGACAAGAGAACAGATTAATAACGTAAGTAGGCCGGAGCCTAGATAGCGTAGATTGAGAGTTCCGCTTAAAAGACCACAATTTGGCCACACATGTAGGCCATGGGAAGACTTCATTCAGCGTCAAAAGGCAGTCTATGCATCGTAATATGCAAATAATAGGAGCGAGCAAACATTCTGCATTTAGATCTTTACAAATACTCAATATTTATATTTGTATGACTCTAAACCATTGCAAATAAAGTTTCTGAATTAAAAATCAATGATAAAATGGGCGGGACTTGAACCGGCATCTACAGAATTCTGCTCTTTTTGCTCTAACCAACTACCGTGTCTTGCACATAAACCTCTCGCGTAATTAAATTCATATAATGCCATCATTATATAATACCTAAACATATGATAGGCAGATTACACCGATTAGTTTTAAAAGCCACAAATATAAACTCGACTAGCGAAAGACAAAACGATCCGATCATTACCATTTCCAATTATTGCTTTATATGATCTGAATATTTTGATATATTCTATAATCAAATTAATCATTTCAGAAATGCGAATTTAGTCATTGAAACGTGAAACTATTGTTCTATAATTTCTCATATCGATTGTTATTTTGGCACAGTTTTTAATTAAGTTTAAAATAAGAATGTATCGAACATTAAAGAGGTTTTAAGCACGTTGTAAAAACGCCGAAACAACTTCTAAAACATATGGCGAACTAGATTCTATTCTATAATACATACCTCTGGTCCAGCAGCAGTCTCCTGAATTACACACAGAGACGTGGCGTGTATGTCTGAGTAGTAATTGGTATTAAAGGCACTCACTGAAGAGGGAATATGACTAAATTAAGAAGCAGGGGACAATTACACTGATTTTAGAAAACGTAAATAATCTTCGAAACACTACACTTTTTGAAACTACTATTACAAAACGGTGAGTGCTTCTCCAAGTAATAATTTGTTGTCACATATTAAACTGTTCACAACCGACTCGCACGTTTGGCACCGAAACGCGTCTGACAGCGCGCACTGACCTCGTTCGGCGGTCGTATCGCGAAAAAACACAACTACCCCCAAAAACAAATTTTAATTTTAGAAAATGTAACTTTAATAATTGCAGACATGAACTTAGAGTACCATTGGAACGTATATCTGTCCTCAACATGTGAATCGGGATTTAAATGAATTTTACAGAATCAATGAACATAGTTAAACTAATACCCCATATAAAAGAAAGTTTTGTTCAAATATGCCATTTGGTTTATAGTTCGTTAAAGAAGTGCCTCAACGAAAAGAATAAATTATGTTTAAAAAATTTAAAAACCCCGGGATATGATACTTTTACGGAAAAGATCGAAAAAAATGATAAAAGATTGCTACCGTAAATCAAACAAGAAAAAACTGTTGAAAGGCAATTCAAATTATTTTGGAATTTTGTTAAAAAAATTAAATCTATACGAAATGACGTACTGCCACAGATGGAGAAGAATTGTCAATTTTGCGGTATTTTCAAACTGTATATGAGTTTGGTAATTCTCTTAAAGTAATAATTCAGAAACTAATTGCCGCTAGTTGCGAGATGAAGTAAGATTTTAAAAGGAATTAATCCTAATAAAGGTGCTGGTCCCGATGGCATCCCGTCGTACTTTGTGAGGTCGTGCAGTGACGTCCTAGCCGAGCCTTTGACAATAATCTTTAACAAATCATTGACGTCAGGAATTTTTCCCGACTTGTGGAAAACTGCGCATGTTGTACCGATACATAAATCTGGTGACAAAGCAAACGTCTGCAATTATAGGCCAATATGTATTCTAAATTGTTTTGCGAAATTTTTTGAACGCGCTATTTTTGGAAAACTTTACAGTCACATAAATCAGTTTTTACTTCCTGCTCAACATGGTTTTGTATCGCACAAATCTACTACAACAAATTTAACTGAATATATTAATGTTCTATTTAATGTCATTGATGATAGAGGTCAGGTAGATGTCATCTATACTGACTTCCAGAAGGCATTTGACAAAGTCAACCATGACATACTTCTGAAGAAGCTTCTTTCCTGCGGTATTCATGGAAATTTACTACGTTGGTTAACGTCTTACCTAAAAAATCGCTCGCAAATTGTAGCTATTAATTGATGTCTTTATGAAGCAATTTTAGTTCCCTCTGGGGTCCCTCAGGGATCGCACCTAGGGCCTTTATTGTTTGCCCTCTTTATAAATGACTCACCCTTAAATTTCAATTTAAATACCAAATATATTTTCTACGCTGATGACTTAAAATTATTCAGAAGAATTAGAAGTATTTCCGACTGTATTACTCTTCAAAATGATCTTTATATTCTTGATTCCTGGTGCCGTTGTAATTTAATGAAACTCAACGTTAATAAATGTCATGTAGTTACTTTTACAAATAATTTAAATATAATTGATTACTCATATATAATCTCAGATATATCTCTAACACGTAAGACCTCTATAAGGGACCTAGGTGTTATCTTTGATAGTAAATTATCTTTTATTGAACATATTGATCATGTTGTAAAAAAATCTAATCAAATACTTGGATTTATTTTACGAACGACAAAAACATTTAATAACGTAAATAGTGTGATAGTCTTATACAAATCTTTGGCCCGTAGTATTCTCGAATATAACAGTGTAGTTTGGTCACCTTTTTATAAAGTACATATTGATGCAGTTGAATCTACCCAGAAACGCTTCTTAAGAATGTTATGTAATCGTTATCGTCTGCGAAATTCTCTTCGCACGTATGATAGTCGTCTAAAATATTTCAATTTGGATTCTCTTGAAAGGCGTAGAAAATACATTGATTTGATATTCATGTACAAAATATTAAATTACATAACTCATACTGAGCTACTTTCAAATTTTTCTTTTCACTGCGCGCTCAAGGTTACTAGAAACAATTGCCTCTTTTACTCTCCAACGCCCCGCCTTGCGACTTCTGCCAATTCCCCGATTAATAGAATGGTTAGATCATACAATACAATATCTAAAAATGATATAGATATAGACATATTTCACAACAGCCTGTACAGATTTCGTGTTCTAGTGCGACAGGCATTAGGTTAGTCTTAGTTCACGTTCTGTCTCTAGTTTGTTCATTTCACATCTTTATGTTTGTTATTTTAGTAGTGATTAGTATTATAGTTATATATTAATTAGAATTATAGTTTTAATTGTGTGCCTATTTAACCGTATTTGCAATGTGTTTCTGTGTAATTGACGTATATGTAAAAATTATTGTTCTGCATTATTTAAGTATGTAAAACACATTTATGTTGTATGGAAACCAAATAAATAAATAAACATTATTATTCTATTCACTACTAACGAAATTTCCAGTTCCACATTATTGATATCTTAACTACTATGTTAATTTTCAACAATACAAAGCACAGTATGTTACAATTACAAATGTTAGATAGTGAGAGCGGATGAGCGAATAAAACAAGCGGTTGATGTTAACAAATGCGTTTATTAGACATTACAATCCACCACCTTAGTACATATTTACAAAAGTTATAGTCACACACCGAGGAACGATATTGGGGCAGTATTTCTATATTATGTTTTTTTGCATATCCAAGAATGTTTTTTTTATTTGCCTTTATACTTCTTAGTTGTAAGAGCAATAATATGGACCGCTTGTGCAAACTACAGATACAAATTGAGATAACGATTCATCTTTTGATTACTTATTGCGAATTCGCAATTTTATATAAAAAATACGCGTTGTTCTAGTAAAGCAGACAGAAGTCAAAACTTGATTATAAACTTTGTGCATTTTTGACACCTTAAAATAGTTAGGGTTAATATTGTAAAAATCGCTTTAATTTGTTATAACAGTCCTATACTATACTCTCTCTCCGTCTAACGAATTTTTGATCAGGTGTTGTATCTGATGTGCATAGCGCTTCTAAACAACTTTTTACTTCAAAATCCAATTCAACTCAAAAGTCAAATAAGTATTTTTAACAAATAATAAAGATGTTACTAGCAGTATAGTGTGCCCCAATAGCGTCCCTGTATAAAATGAAGCAAGTAGCGGTTAATAGCGGCCTCAGAGTAAACCCCGGGACATGCGACTCACCGTTGTCTGCGCAGGCGCGGATGTGGTCCCAATCGGTGCGCAGGCGCAACACACGTTCTCTGAGCTCAGGAGAGACCGTTTGGCGAGCAGCTGCACATTCACGCTCCAAGTTTTTGTAGTTTTCTAACACCTCTCGCATTTCTGTCTCGTGCTCGTTTATCGACGTCTGCCCAAAATTAATAAAGACATAATCTCTGGACTCGAACCTATGTAGACACCATTGTATTGTGTCCCACTTGTCTTGATCATGTATATTTTTGTATCAAATCTAAGATTTAAAATATTGAAGGGGTAAAGCGTCAAACTCATCCCTTAATTATTTGGAAGTTGAAATTACAGAGTTGAATTTCTTTACTCTAAGCATTGGTTGGACTCACAGCTACTTGTCTATCTTGATGAGTGATGTCTATCGAAAGTCTTTCTATAAAGACTCGAATTTAAAACTTGTACCTTTTTTCTTCGAATTTATTTCAGCCAACTCAGTATCTTACAGTATTTTTTTGTCAAATGAAATCTCATGTGAAGAAGGGGAACAGAAATTTCTTCGCTTTTACACAAATCCACGAACAGATTAGTTTATACTAACCAGTATATCGTCCGGCCTGGCATCAGCCAAGTCCTTGGGCAACGCCAGGCGTGCCCTGGTCTCCATCGCCCAGGTCAGCGCCGCCTCCAGGCGCGCAGTATACTTGTCCAACGCCGCCAGCTTGCTGCGTACGTATTCACCGTGAGCCGACAACTTTTCTTGGGCCTGGCAAAAGCATTTTTATAGATAAACGTCAAATGTGAATATATGAAAAACAAATAAACGTTTAACGCTGCAATACATAAGACATTAAACCTTGAAACGCAACAGTTAAGGTCGAAATTACATTGCGCGAGAGGTGCATTCATCAATATTCAATAGGTTAAATAATGACGTTAACGTGTAAGACACGGTAGTTCAATTAAAGGTTAAAGCAACAGCACGAAACGTTGTGGAGGTCGGTTCAACTCCCGACTTTGTCAATTTTTTTTTTCAATCTAAATAATTTTGTAATTGATGTAATTAGTACTATATCTACCTTATATGTGCGTACGTACGTACGCACGTAGTTACGAAATATTGACTTTAGGTTTATAACATTCAAGCCTGTTCGAAATAAGTTTAAAGCATTGAATATCCTAACGCTGGCAATTCAATATATCTATGAAAATGTTTTGTATGTGAGGAAAAACGTAGATACTTTTAAAACGAACGGCAGCTTTCATCAGTACAATACACGTAATAAGGACAAAATAAGTGTACCAAACAAAAGGCTCCATAAAAGTAGTAGTTCTTTTCAAGGTAACTGCATACGATACTTTAATAAAATCCCCAGCGAAGTGCAAGGACTCTCAATAAATAAGTTTAAATCGTATGTAAAACAAAAACTGCTTGAAAAGGGTTATTATGACGTTAAACAATATTTAAATGATAAAAATGCTTGGGATGTGGAGGAACCCGCTCTTACAAGGAAAAATATGTAGTGCACTAAAAGTAAATCATGAATGTAAAAAGAAACTTGGCGATAAAAGGAGTGACGGCGAGTTTATTGCCAGTTCTTTCCGTTCGTTCGACGCCCTTGATTTGAGAACTGGTAGTAAATGTAAAGTTAGATTCTATAATTATTTTGTGACGTTCATAAGTGTACATAGTTACCTACATGAATAAATGATTTTTGTCTTTGACTGTGTATAATATTGAAGATTAATACCCCATTTTCGTTTTTTTTCCAAAGTTATAAAAAAAACTTGTAATAGAATTCACCCTTCTCAATAAGAGCGACAGAAGAAGATTCATCTAGCGGCAGTTACAGTTTACTTTATCTTACACTTACTTTATCTTATTTCTTTGCATTTATTGAACCACGAAGAATTACACAAACAAAATATTTTATTTCTCTTAAGTCCTTAACACATAGCTGAATGCACTACGACACATACGTTATTATGAAACAAAACGAGCGCGTTAATGGCATTAGTCATTAAATATTGTTGTACAATTTTATACCGGTAAGTATTGTCTTGTTGTTGACGCCACACACTTAATTTTACCTACAACTACTTACAACATTTGAACCACATCCCGTGGTCGTTGAGGGACTACTTTCCCCGTGACCACGGCTACAGCAAAGCCTTTGAAACATCGGGCTGTTGTTAAAAAAAATAACCAATGTATTCGAGTTTGAAACCATTAAAATCACTTTATTTAAACGAGAATAACTCAGTACTCCGGTACAAGTGCAAAAATATTTTTTCTCCAATACCCAAATTGTTGAGTTACCTCCAGTTAACGTAAGGGTAGATTTGCAAAATAAAAACGACCGTTGTCAAGTCTAGTGGGGCCAACGGGCTGCGCTTCCGACGTGACAATAGCCGTGCAAATTAGTGCGATCCCCTTACGGCAGGGGCGGCTATTAGATACGGACAGACCGATTGACACGCGATTAACGTGTCCCCGCCGACCGCTAACTTTGTGAAAATAACCCAATGTCGTAACGCGTTTATTTCGATAGTCAATAAGCCTAACGGCCCTATATACAACAAAAATTATTCATTTGGTAAAACGAAATAAAGTGAAATACTGGCTTCTGTGACAGAATTCCTAAAAGTGAAAACATCGTTAGTGCCGTTATTCTTTTTTTTCGCAAGGTGGATAGAGAGAACACAATATAAATTTCCAGTTATCCGATAACGTAAATAATATTGTCTTTTACCACATAAATGAACTATCGTTTATTTCAAGATACTAATTTTTAAACCGATAAAAAAACATGTAGAATTTTTCTCTATCAAAATATTAAAAATGTAAAACCAATCGTTTTTTTGTTTCTCAGGCATTCGAATCTAAGACCACCAGGTAAGTTTTCACTCTAAGCAGCCTACATTAGAAGTATACACTATTAAATACGTGCTGCCTCAATATTAAGCGAAAATTAGCTATAAATCGAAGCCATATCGTTCTAAATATCTGTCTATATCTAGGAGACTTGGACTAACTATAAATTTTGCTCAATACGTTAGTTTAGAGCCAGCAAAGCCGGTGCGAGGGGAGTTCGCCTGCGGGGATAACAATACAATATTGTGCCGCCTCACTATAGCATACTGACGAATAGTGGAAGCGGATGTGAAATTATGAAAATTGCCTTCGTGAATAACGCGCATAATTAGGGGACACTTTTCGTCTATATACTAAACTAGCTGTGTCAGCGACTTCGTCTGCGTAGAATAGTTACCTTGTGGGATCAAAGTTTACCACTACCCACAAGGTCGGTCGCATCCTCTCGTTCTTGCAAGTTAATCATAAAAGATAGACATATAGTGTCGCAGACATTTTTTAGTTCATTTAAAGAGGAATCAATTTTTTTGGGTATCTTTAACAGTTTCCGCAGCGTACGCAACGGATAGCCACAAAGGTGAATATTTATCCCCGTTTTCTCCACATTTCCCGATTTTTTTTTGCTCCTATTAGTTTCAACGCGATGTTTATAGCCTATAACCTTCTTCGGTATATGCAGTAACAAACACAAAAAAGATTTTTTCAAATTCGACCAGTAGTTCCTCAGATTAGGTCGTTCAAGCAAACAAAGTCTTCGGCTTTATATAATATACAGATATAGATTTACAGAATCGTTGTGCACCTCAGTGTTTCCTGCGTTATCACATATTTAAAAAAGACGTTACTCCAATTCTGTCCAAATCGGATAGACAATACAATGAGACATTTCGTTAAAAAGGAAACATAACTAAGGATAGTTTATATGTTACTTGATATAAAATGGTCTTAGGAGCATAACCACCAGACAACCAAACCAGACAGTTTCGGCTGTAAATGGGTGTACATTTTAATATGGTACGTCTGGAAAGTTAAAATACTTCCAGGAAAGTATCTGGCAGTTAGCACAGTAATTGCCGCGTGTGGAACCCGATATGGGGCCAGCACCATAAACTCGACTCTTCGAACTTAAACTTACTCTAAAGAGTAATTGTCAAGAAAATATTCTGCTCATCTATACTAATATATAAGTTGAATCATTTGTTTGTTTGTTTGAACGCGCTTATCACAGGAGCTACTGGTTCCAATTGAAGAATCTTTTAGTATTGGTTAGAGCATTCATCGAATTATAGGAATAGGCTATAATGCACCATGATGGAACGTATCTAAGCGAGAGAACAGCAGGAAATGTTAAATAAAAACGGGGAAAATTATTATCCTTGTCGGTTTCCGTTGCTTTGAAAACGTTTCTAGATTCCCAAAAAATACGTGTGAAAGAATGATTCCGCTCCAAACTATCTAAAAATGTCCCTGTCATCAGTATATGTCTATCTTTTAAGATTAAATTGCAACGACGACTTAACTTTATTGTTACTATTCTACGCGGACGAAGTCGCGAACACTAGCTAGTAACATACATCGATGCCCCATCTGCAGATAATCATCAAATAACGATCAATTGAAAACGAACTCTACAACTATAATATGAAAGACCGTTTCCCCCTCGTGGGGCAGGGGACGAACACATTTCTGTGTCCGTTTCACTGATCCGTTCTTTTAAGGGGCAAGTAGTTGATCAGACTTCTGTGCCCTGCCCGACCGAATATTTTCCCTGGAATTCGAACCCAGGACCTCTCGCGCTCAACGCAATGCTAGGCAATTCGTTTGTCTGAGTTAGGGGTGTAGTACATATACAAATACGCGTTACGGATGCTTTCCGGTTGCTATGGTTACGGGAGACTAAAACAAACATATCACGCATGTTTCATTTATTTTTTTATTATAGCTTATTTAAAACACACCACAAAATGAGAAAATATAAAGAGAAAGAAAACTTACGTACTAACTTTGTTCGTATGTATTTATCTCACTTTTCGTATAATACAGTGCATATATTCATAAATTAAATTAAGAATCTGCTTTTAATTGAAAAATTCGATAACTCTGGCGGGACGTGAACATCCACTGCGATCCGTGCTGCTCAAAAAAAATGAGCTGTTGTGCCCGCGCACGTAATCCCTTCGATGACGGTTGACATGTGGTTACCGAGTTGTGGATATTTACCGTTTATCTTAACAAAACAAAAGCGGCCGTATTCATTAGATACAATTATGGTGTGTGCGACACGTGACTCGCCTACAGCGAGGGTCCCGGCGACCCGCGGTCCTAGGAGAACCGATGTTGGGGGGGAAGGGAATAAGGATGGCCCTCGAGCGGCCGTCTGCACACAGTCTACACAAATGTCAGTAGAAATTTGCACACGGTTGAGGAACTGACTCAATAGTGATATCGATTATTTTAATTTCATACTATTATGACAATTGTAAGGAGGGAAATATGATAACGGATTATTGTTTCATTATTAAACACATATAGAACAATTTCAGTTCAGAAGAGAATAAAAATGGGAGAAATAAGAGATAAATTTGTTTCCCCTTGCCGCCCTTTTTTTTTTTTTTTTTATACCTTTTTTTTCATGTTCACTTGATGGAAGACGAAACACCATAACATTATCATATCTAAACAAAATGTCACTGTCGAATTTTGTGTTTTGGATTTGGGGAATCCATTCCACACCAGAACGCGATAAGACGTCACAGAGTTTTCATCCGTGCACCGTGATTGGATTGGAATTTCAACAATCCCGCCTCCTTTTTAATATCTAACTAAATGAGAAACTATGTTTCATAAATTTGCGAACATGAGTAGGAATCTATTTCACGACCCTTGCCGAACAAGCTCGTCAAAGCGCTTCTTTTTATACGAAGTTTAAGTGATAAAATAGCTTATATTTGACCAATAATAATAGACTGTGGTCCGATTGTCAGGTGCAGAGCCCTCGAGCGCGGCACTTGCGCTCAGTAGTGGCGGATCGCAACTTTATACGGCTTTTAGCCAATGTTAACTGAAGCCGGCGTAGAGGACGCATCCCGTCCACGTTTCGCTCTCGTTATTTCCAGCCTCTACGGCGATATTATTTCAAACGTTCAATTTCATAAGCGTTTTGCAAATAAAGTAACAAATAGCTGGGCTATCGTCTCGCTCGATCGCAATTGGTCGGGAGATAAGGGACTGATAAAATGAACTGCTTTTTGCTTGGTCCTGTTGCGTTTCCACCCTGCATTCATCCAATATCGCTTGCTTGGGCGAGCTTATTGAATGGTCCTAATGTTCATGATACATATCTTTGTAATTTTTTAATTGATTACCGACGTTTTGTGATGAATATAATAAAAATCTACCTGACCTGTATACCGTCCTTTCAACCATCGCTTTAGAATATTAAGTTAGTAACTGTAAAAAAAGTTACAACATCGTGAACTATTCTGTCTTTGTAGAGCATTATAAACCAATTTATCTTAGTAAATTAATTATATACGACAATAACAAACAACTAACTATTCCAAACCGCAATATCGCTACAGCCTTTTACCACAAGCGTTCATCAGTTACCACAGCCACTTATTACTAAACACCACAACTAACAAGAAAAAGGTTTCTTATCTACAATTGTGAAAATTAAGTAAACATAAGCCTTAGTATCGACTTCACATAATTATACCCTTAATGAAAAGTATCGCTATGTGCCATTGCGTACGAGAGGGTCCGTGACTCGAATCCCGGCGAAACAGTAGAGCAGTTAAACAACCTTTTTTTAAAAGTATAACTTGCAACCGAAGCCAGGTAGATTTAAGCCAAACATCAAACAACCTACTACCAATATTCGTGCCTCGCTTTGACATACTTAGGGACTGCATTTCGAGCGGAAAATTATTTTTCAACTAGTACGTAACGCCCCCGTTTTCTACCCAGTGAATTTCACGAGCCTTTTTGAATATTCACAAAACTCATTTTTTCCCCAATAGACGGCAAACTTTGAGACAAACTTCCATCGTTTACTCACTGTCCTTAGATACCGAATATTTAATTTTCCATTCTTAATTAAGAGAAAAATATTTTAATGAACTGTCTGTATACGAAAATATATTTCTGAACAGAGACGAAAGTCTGTCGACTGTCAACATGTAGATGTAGATACAAACATGATTATAGATTATAGGTATACTCAAAGGTTATCAGTTTAGGTTGCAGAAAAAAATATTATTTATAGTAACAAACCTGCTGCAAATCAGTAGTGAGAGCGCGACTTCTGTCGTTGTCAGATTGCAACTCCCGCGCGCTAGCAGCTAACTCTTCTTCACGAGCCTAAAAAACGAATAACATTAAATAATTATTTTTATAATGTAACGATACATGCAGGTAACAAAGACTTCGGGATACGCAAAGGTTGTATCTTATATCTATCTGTAAGAATCACCATAATGATTCCTTAGTTTGAAGTTTATCATGTTGACAGATAATTGTCAATTGTAATAATAATAATATATATATATTGATTGTGAATTCTGTATGTCAGTACAATATTAAAGGCATTGATGACTTATACTTTGAAATTGAAATGAATGTAGTAGTTTCAAAAAGTAGATAGAGAAAAACAGTTCTAAAATAGTAAATCATAGATACAAAATGTTGAAAAGATATTTTATAAATTGTGAACAAAATTTTTGCCACGTTGAACGTTTGTATGTCGTTTCTTAATTACGGTAAGTATAAATAACTTTTAAGTAGTGTTGTTTGTATTTTTTTGTGTTACTTATCAAATTTACAGAGCAATTGTTTATTTTAACTTCACGATTTCTGCACACAATTGACAATTATCTAATATCTATTTAATATAATGTATAAATATAAATTTAACATATTTCCTTTTAACTAAAAATATAAACCTTATTTCATAAACTTCGCAATATTTGAAATTGTAACACGAAACCGTAGACTTTTACGCTTTGTGAACTCCCGGCTCGACCGTTTCTAATTTCCGTTAAAAAGGAGCCTATACTCGTCGCAAGTTCAGGGATGCTTTTGGAAGCGCGGCTCAATTAGAGCTTCAAACAGTTTGTTTGTTTGTTTGTTTGTCCGGCGGCTGCGGCTATTAACCGGGCGTAAGCTGAATTTCGGTTCAATTTGCTTTGCGCTATTACTTTACTTTGACCCTATAGCTTTTAACTCATTGTGACTGCATTTCAGACTTAACGATAGTCCTAACCAGCGTTTGCGAAAACCACAATCCAATCAAAGCATTTCGAACATCTTATAAGTAAGAAATATCACTCCTTTCGTCCGTTTCATAAATACAAAGACTCAAATAATTATAAAACTTTTATGAATAAACATACCTACTGTGCAATACCAAAAACACCAAACTAAACAGCACACAACGCTCGATGTAAACACAATTGCTCAAAATTGTATCAAACTGAGAAACACACGGAAGCGCCCAACAGACTAACACTATCCACCAATAATTCACCAAATTCAATAAACAGAGGCGACGCAAGCCAGTTTCGATTTAATTTTAATGAAAATAGAACTTAAATTGCCCAAACGAAATATATGAGGTGTGATGTTTTGTTGAATGCGAATAGTTATCGTAAAAGAGAGTTTTATTAAACGAATAGTGATCTTAACGTCGTTGCATTAAGATGTATAATCGCTCGTCGCTCTCGTGGGAGATAGGCTCGTTGAGAGAGATGCAGCGGCCGGCGACCGGCGACAGGGATTCATATGTGATCAGAAATAGCTCGTGTCTCTACAATAAGCCGAGGAAATTTACACACGGATTTGCTTCCTTACGGAGAGCACACTTCAACTGAACGATTGTACGGCGAAACTCAATTGTACTCGAGATAAATAGTAGCACTTTTCAGTATAGTGTATATCTTTCTATCCAAACAAGATTCATTGTAAATGTATTTCGAAGAAATGGTTGTATCCAATCTGAGAATGCTTCGTAAGCTAAACGAACGAATAGCCGAAATTGTATCACGAGAACGCAAGGAATTTGTTCATCCACAGCTCTTGTAATATCTTACCGAACAATTTCATACAAATTGTAAGCGTGTAGCTTCTCAGCGCTTTCGCATACTTCTCTCGTTATTTTTTAATACATCGCAACTCCTATGTAAATTAATATCTATTAATAATTTTGTGTAGTACAGCATTTTTTTATTAAATAACTACCTAATGTAAACCTAGCAAATAATATTAAAAGTCAGGACGCAATTTTCTTTTAAAAATAAAAGAACTTATTAGATGTTCATGCTACCTGAATTTCCCTCGCGGGAAATATGCTACATTGCAATATACGCGCTGCAGACATTCTACCACAGATAAGACTAAGAGCAACACTATGTGTGGTTTCTCTCCTTCTTTCAATAAAGAAAAGTATTAACTAATTGAATGAGATTTGACAGACAGTCATAAATATACGCGGGCTCGTTGGGTACCATGGCTACCATTATAGCAACAGCAAAAGGTTCTGGGTTCGATCCCCATCGGGTCCAACGTGTTTCTAAATTTTTAATATATAATTTTTCTGAAGCATGGCAGACTACATCTGGAAATCTGGATATTAAATGGGTGGTAGGACTATCGAACCACCGTGCACAGATAAAAAGGCCGTGATGTTTAAACGCGTTTCGATTTCAGTCTGTGGATTTTCAAACATCCAAAGCCAAAACAGATCGGGCTCCTTTATCTTTATATATTTGAATATTATAATACAGCTAATGACACCATGACAGAAAGACAGACATTTCTATATTATAAAATTGCTATATGCATTACATTTAAGTCCTTTCTTCTGTCCGTCCGTTTTGATATCCTGGACAGTACGCTTTGCGAAATCCTTCCGGCGACGTCTGGCTACTTCCGTTCGCCGAAAACCATTTGCATTTCAATCATTTTTAGTTCGATCACTACGGCATGTAAAACATTTTAGCGTCTGTAATATTTTTGATATATCGAACAAAATTTCCTTGAACATTAGATGTTATCATTACTTTTAAGTAACAATTAATATAGCTATGTAGAAACAATTGTATTACAATACAAATAACTTGAACCAAACTGTTTTTTTTTTTCATTTCAACGACAAAGATATAGAAATGAAATTAATGCGCATAGATTAGAGTCAGTTAAAAATGACGGCTTATCCGTGGCATTTGTTAGTAGTAATATTAAGGCAATTCTTCCCTCTCTCGTGCTATACAAAAGCAATATATCCCTAAATCGAAACGAAGCAACGTCACAGCTTGTGCTAGCTGACGCAGCAAGCGCGACTGACTAATGTCCATTAGACTCGCTGCATATACATCCTGATAGCAGACAGCGGGGCTGCTACGACCGTCCGAAGCCCTATTTATTTTTAATACGACATGAGGAATCGAAGGAAAAATAACATTTTGTATTAAATTTTATTATTTGTGTTTTAAAGTTATTTTTTACTAAGGTCTGACGTTTCGGATGCTTTGCAGTAACTGAGGTCACGTAGCGAAATACAAACCCGAAATATCCCGTCACCACGGCTTGTGCAAACCATGCGAAACGTCGGGTTGTAATAATAAAATAACTTTAAAATAAGTTTAACTAATATATTTCACGTTTTAAACCGTTAAAGTTCTTCATTTAAATGTGTACTACTCGCGTAAAATACATTTTAGTATTTGACTTCTTGATAAAATTAGCAAAAGGTATGACGGCTAGTGTACACTAGTAAAATGGACATTCCCCGCTTGGAATCGTTCAGTTACAAGACCTCTACAACAAGAGTACAGAGAAAACCAATTGCTTGCTAAAACAAAACTGACCCGGCTGACATTCACGCTCAGTGCATTTAACCAAATAACGAACCTAAAAAAGGGGGATACGTTTTATTTTCATTCGGTTCTATACTTCTGGAGCGATTTGTTTTAGTTTAAAGGCTGCTTTGACCAATTATAAGGTTTAAATTGGATTGAAGTTGGGTTTGGAAAGACGCCAAAGTTTAAAAAACCGTAACACGTCTAGCCTCACTTACAGATACCCCGTCCCTAAACGTTTCAGGCTTTCATATGCCGCTTCTCTTGTTTATGGTGTTATATCATTTTATTGGACACGAAGAAATAGTCTTTCACACTTTTAATTAATTAAAGAAACGATTGCTAGAGACCATAATAAATAAAAGAACTAGAACGAGGAAAGCACTATTGTCTCTAGATAATATGCGATCCGCTTTAGCGCCTCTTGCCATAATAAGGGTATAGACATAAATATTGAAATATTTTATAATAAATTTGTCATAGAAAATTTAACCCTATTACACAATAAAAACAGTCGAACGTGCTTAATATTTGTTGCTCGGCTTCTTCACTCTCTCTAAGGATTGATGGAGAAAATCTCTTTATGGATTAATATGAAATAATCGCAATTAACCTGTGTATCCTGTTAATTGCGACTCAAGGAACCGAGACATATTCACCAAATATTGAGAGTTTCCAATAATCCAGTTTTCCAACTAAGCACGTTTAAAATTATAGTTGTCTCATTTAAAAGGGCCGTCGCGTTTGTAAACAAATATGTTGTAACGTGTTGAAACCTGATTAATTTGTCTCACTTATAGAGGTATTAGAGGTATGCCTCTATACCTCTGTCTTGTCATTGAACCGATTAAAATAAAGTTAAAAAAAATCTATTAAGAAATGAAATTTAATGAGAAAGAACCGGGACTTCATTGCAACTTTAAATAATAAAGGTTCCTCATTTATCCAGGCCCCACTTAACCAGATTTCACTGTACTTCTTACTTTGATCTATTTTGTAGACACTTTAAGAATTAACCCGATATTATCAAGGACTGTTATAAAATATTTAAACAAAGGACCAATACCTTGACTAGAGAAAGCCGGACGGCGAGGGTGGTGCGATCGGAGGGGTTGGCAGAGCTGGACAGCAGCAAGGCTTTCACCTCCCGAACCGCGTGCGACGCGCGACCGACACAGAGCGCGCGCGACACACGCTGTTGTGCTGCTCCTGCCCGCTGCCGAACCGCATCCAGCTGCTCTAGAATGTCTCGCGCCAGCGCCCCACTACACGCGCGGACCACCCCACGTCCCAACGCATGTGTCTCGGAAGCACCGCGCGTCGCCTCACACACCCGTTCTTGCAGTTGCTTCAATTTCTCAATATCTGTGGGCTGTTCATCTAACTCTTGTTCTATGGCGTCAAGTTTCTCGCCTCCACTCTCCAGCGCCGCGTACAGTCGCGCCCATTTGCTTTGACAATTGCTCCATCTGTACGCATAAAATCGGCTTTAACTTATAGTATTTACAAATTTATTTAGAAACTATGTATTATTATTTTTTTTATATAATTTCTAGATTTATAAAAATATGCGTGTTAACCTTTCGTATCTATCTTGATAGCCGCTCTGCAATGCGGCCCACTCGTCACGCAATTTGTCCGCAACGCGCCGCACCCGCTCTGCTGCACATCTTCGGCGTGCGTTTTCCGCTTCCTCGACCGCGATATTGGCTTCGGCCATCGATGATTTTATTCGCTAAATAACAAGATGTAACGTGAAAATTCTTTATTTTTGACTCTATTAAATAATATTTTCCACTTGTACTTACAGCAAGAGCATCCTCCTGCAACGGAAAATCGTCAAAGTCTCGTCCTCCCAGAGGATGCGATCGCAAAGCCGCCGACACACTCGCTACGAGCTCGCGCGCACGATTGATTCGCGTCACTGCATCGGCACTCTCGGTATCCTGCTAATTTTAATCAAAATCAAAAATTCTTTATTACGTTTCCATATACTTGGTGCAGATAGAGAGACCCTAGGGCATGCCTGTGTCGTGGGTAAGCTAACTTAAGTATACTGTAAGAATAAGTTACTTTTACGCCTAAAACTATAAATTACTGTTCAAGTGCAAGTCATTCCTCTTACCTTTCCCTTCTTATCCTTCTTAATCGTCGTTTCATACTTGTCCCGAGCACAACAGAAGGCCGTCGTGACATCAGCGGCCGCCCGTTCTGGGAAGGCCACCTTCTGAGCGCGCAAGTCTCGCACCAACTCTTGCACGCGCTCGTAGTCGTTCTCTGCGTCAGCTATGTCCGTTCGATTGGTGTCCGCGTGGAAATCCTTCAGCCAGCTTCGCAACCGGTCAATTACCACAGTCAGTTCCTTAACATCGTCTTCGGCCTTTATCGCAGCGTTGCGTTTCAACTCAATCTCGGATATTACAAGCGCCCACTTGTCGCGCAGACGATCCGTCAAATGAGCTTGTAAATGCGCCGCTAGCGCTGGATCATGCGCGTGCGTCTCGTATACCAAACTGTCGCCGCGGGATATTAGTGCAGCAGCGTCTGGTGCTATCGCCCCCAACTGATTCTTCAGGATCTAGAATAGTAAAACCTGGTTAAGTGGGTCCTGGATAAATAAGAAACCTCTATTGTTGCGAGTAACAATGAGGTCTTGGTTCTTTTTCATTAAATTACCTCCGTAACTTAAACTTTTTGACCCTGGTTAAATGAGTGACTGCAGTGTAGGAATGCTAAGATTCTTTCAACGTTTAAAACTATAATTGAGACTCAGTAGCTCAATTTTTTTTTGCTCATATGATTTTATTTTGTATCCAAATGTATTGTATTTTTGTCGAAAGTCAATTTAAGCTTTTATTAATTGAAATAATTAATGTCGAACACCATTGATCGCCGCGACCCATAAAGCGAAAAAACCGCTATATGTTTAAAAGCGTCATAAATAAATCCATATGCATTGTAGACTTTAGAAAAGAAATACTAAAAAGTTTTTTGGCAAAGCTTGCATATAGAGCAACTAAAGGGCCACGCGGGTCAATGAATAGGATTTAGTTTGATAACATTTACCAACGGTCTATAAGAACGAAACGAAAATCCTTGTTAAACGCGGTCAACACTGACCGACGCAGCTCAAATGGAAATTCTTGATGACCATCACTGACCGACACGGCCTGAACGTGAAAGTGCATTTTTTCTCTCGGCAGAGAACGTGTTAAGTGCTTAATGTACTACCTCTAGCCTCTTAGCAGGGTCGCGTTCGCAGCTCACGCCGCCAAGCGTAAGTAACATAACGTGAAGTCGGCGCGCCATCTTTTGCGCATCCAATTCGAATTGCTCCAAGGCTCCATCGCAAGCAGATCCGAACCGTGACCGGATGCACGTTGGCACTTCTTCGCATTCCACCTCAGGTTCACTCTTCTCTGAAACCTACATAGCCGAGAATATATCTTTACAAACTTGACCCTGAAACTAACTTTACTAATCCCTTATAAACAAAAATTCAAGAATGTACACGTACCTGCGCGTAATCGTCGGTCCTCTGATATTTTTCGCTAGTTACGATTTCGGTCGCAAAAGACGAGTCTTGATTCTCTTGACTCTTCGGCGACATGGCCACGACCTGTACTGGTGGTTTTTTCTCCTCTTTAATGGGAGTCGATGTCGCTTTAGGGCGTTTTTCTTCGAAATCAGCAGAGCTTAGACGCACCTATAATCAATTATCGCTGAAAACTTGGACAAAAACACATTTTTTTTTGTCGATATATGTATAACTAATCATTTTACCAAATATCATTTCCGAAAGTATTATAATTTGAATTTCAGTAAGCCTCACTTATCAGTAATTCTATTCTATTTATTTAGGATTATACTTATAGGACAATATAATCTCCTATTTTCAATTTCAATATTACCTGTTGCAAGTTCATATCTTCAACTTCGGAATAGATAACATCATCTTCATTAACGACGGGTTTTTCGACCGTTGCTGCTTGTTCGGTGGAATTGTTGTCATCCCCTTTATTCGATACCACTGTTGCAGCCTCCCCGGACATTGTTTCCGTGGCTGATGGCTCCGGCAGAGCAGCCAGCTCTTTCGGTACTTCGTCAAGTATCAGGTACTCGTTGACTTCGTCCCGCATCAAATTCTTCTGCGCTTCTTTCTGACGTAACACTAAGTCGTACAAAAGTGGACATTCCTGCGCTTCCGATTCGTCCATCGGTGTCGGCGGTGGCGTCTTCATTGAGACATCGTTGTCGTTGCTCGGAATTAAGTCGGGAATTTCGTTGACAGTAACAGTCTTCTTTTTCTCTTCGCTACTACTTCTATGTTTCAAAATTCCTAAAGTCGGTTTCATACGTTCGTCGAATTTCCTAACTTCGACGACAAAGGTTTTCGGCTCAGAACCTAAGTCAACTGAGCGACGACCGTGATCTTTTTCATTATCAAACTTTTCATCATCCGAGTCTCCGGCAGACTCGCCCTCGGTGTCATAAATGATTTCGACTGTCTCCACAGTCTGGGGTATAAACTCGACGACTGTTTCGACTGTATCTGACGGGTAAATTTCCATTGGCTCTATAGGACTGACCGTAGACTTCATGATTTCATGTTCTGTTACTGCAACTACTTGGCACGAGTCTTTTGATTTTTTTATTTCTACAGCAGGTTTAGTCTCGATTCTATTTTTAGATATTTGAGTAAATAAGTCACTATCCTTTAACAAATTAAATGTGCTACTGTCTTTTTTCGGCGTTCCAGGCGTGGAAGGCAAAGAAGGTGATGCTGAAATAGAACCTTCAATGGAATCCACTGACATGGTGCTTATAATACTTTCTGACATCGAGCTGTCATCTTTTTTGACTCTCCTCTCTAAAGACGATCCCCTACTTCTGTTTCCACCTTCTTGAATCTCTTTTTTAACAGGAACTGGGCTTTTCAAAGCCAGGGGTATTTTAGACTTCTTGAACTCGGGTCTTTCGACATCGGGAGAATTAATCGGACTCTCTAGGCGTCTCTTGATAGTGTCTGTTACGTTCTCATATTCAACAATAACGTCATCTTTAGACTGTTTAGCCTGCAACAAATCGGCCACTTAGTGCTTCAAGTTAATGTTAGGCCTTGTTATTTACATGTTAGTCAAGTCCGACCGCGATGAAAGTAATGGTCATAGCGTGATCTCCCAAAGCGAAAGTCTGTTTCGATGAGTAAAAGCATGATTCCCAAGTGTCGATGTAAAATGATTCTTATGCCGTGATACATAAAGCACTTCTTACCACACACCACCAACACCGATTCATTTATTTACATGATATTAAAAACAAAGTCACTCAATAGACACGTCCAATTGTGTTTTTACAGGCCAAACACACATAATGTATTAATTAATATTTTAGTAGATTATTAGACGATAAAAATTCACAATAAATAAAAAAACAAACAATAAAAACATCGCAAAACGAAGCGACAAGGTGCTATTGTGTATACACAGTGAATTTGACAATAAAAGCGAAGTTGTGCGCAAAACTATCATCCATGACGTTTCATCGAATTGAAACCAAATAACCAGTACCTATTTACAGAAAATGCAGTATTCCTCTTGAATGTATTATTATTTTCAGTGACTTTAATCTGCAAATAAAAACCTGTAGAGACAATTAATGAGAGTTATTAAATGTTAGGTGTACTTACAGCGACTTTTTCTGTGATCTTCGTCCAGTGGTTGCTTAGCGCCTTGTTGTCCAAAGCCTCGACGTCGGTAGCCTTCGCTCGCAAATGACTACTTATTTGACTGAGTTTAGTAGCGGATAAGGGTTCTGAACCGTCAAGTTGGCGTTCAACATCGTTGAGATATTTTTGCATTGTTTCCGCGTCTACGTCACGCTTGGAGAGACCATGCCGCTTCAACTGGGTCCAGCGGTTGTTGATTTCCTCGATTTGATCGCGCAGGTTCTCTAGGTAAACTGGGTCACATATCTGCGTAAATTGCACGTAGTTCCCGTTCAGCTTGTCCTTTATGGCTTCCATCCGAGACATTTCCAGCTCGAGGGTCTGCTGGCCGACGTGGCTGAGACCCTGTAGCCAGTTTGTCACGGTTTGTAGGTCGTTTTGTATCTCTCTGGCGGATAACAGTGCCGTCTCCAGTCTCGTCTTAGACTCCGTCACGTGAGCACCGAGTTTGTTGTACAGTTCTTTTAATGTGTCTATCTTTTTGGAAAATTCGTTCGGTTCGGGGACAGCTTTCTCTTCGACCATTTTTCGTCCCGTTTTAATGATAGATTCAACTTCGGATTTTATCTCGCTCAGAGTTCTGTAGAACCTCTGTAAAACAAACGGATCGTTTTGTCATTGGGACTCATATACTTATCAGTATTCTATCTATACATAGGAGGCCATCGTTTCAACATTACACAGAAATTAGAGAATCGTACCTTTCTCGCGAGCCATTTACACGCGACGACAGAAAAAATAACGACCAAGTAGCTGACATAAGAGTTCATAGTGGTTGGATTGACAATCTGGCTTAATGTCCGGCGGCCCGGGTGACACGTAACAGGCGTCGTACGAATCCCCGAGCCACTGGCTATGTGAATAAACTGAATCCAACAAAGATGTATAAAACTAAAAGACGGCAAATGTCGAACAGTACACCATAAATATGTAGATCGTGCCGTTATTATGTAGCTAAATTGAAATACTATCTTGTTAATTCAATTCAAACTTCTTAATAAGTTCATGGGTATATTATCATATCTGGCAATGGATATGGCAATATACCCATGGATAGGACTAAAGCCTTAACCTAGCGTTTATAGCAAACATTCGAGTAATGGCAAATAGATTTTAGCACGAGTCGAGTATTAAAAAAAGTATGTTAGAAACTGCCTTCTCCACAATAAACCTACTCATTGTCACAGAATCCTTTCAACATTTGTGATGACATAGCATCACTGCCGCACGCGATATTATCTAGTGCAGCGCTTTTGTTGCTGCGCCTATTCACCTGACCTTCTTTTCATGAGATCGAACAATCGCTATAAACCTTCGCTTTTGTAAATCACCTTAAATCTTTTCAAACAGAACGGCGGCCAAATTTAGAGATACAAACTTGAATTTAATGTCCATAATGAGTCGCTTGCTGAGAATTCGAGTGATACTTTGTGGTGCAAGTGTTACGCGATACGCGTACGGCCATCGGCGCCGATGTGCTACTGACGCATCACGAGCAAGTGTAAGAGTAGCCAGTTCGCAATCCGCTTAGCGTGTTATCGTAGTAAGCCGGTAATGTCCGTGCGTGCGTCTCCGCTCTTACGTAAGCCACTTATGGCGATCGCGTCTACATTACATTTGATTTCATTACGACCCTATAATACACTTCCGAGAAAATAAAACTAAATGTTTTTTTAATTATAGAGGAAAATAGACAAGTATAGGATTCAGTCGATGGATTTAATACGATCTATTTTGGCTTCGGATATTCAGATTTATGTCTTTATAATTTCGATGTTCTATATACTATAACCTGATATTTAGTATTGTTTTATGTTAGTTATCAAACGAAACTTATTTTTTGTATGATTTTCTATACTTTTCTACAATGATATTTCACGTAGCTCCCCTGACCCGATAGGTCAGTCGAAAATACCTAATGATACATAAAATATGTACAATAATAGATTTCATTTGCATCATATAGTTCGTTATGCAAAATAAAATAAGACCTTACCAGGCACCTCCTCAGCTGCGCTCGTACAGCATCCGGCTCTGCACCGGTGAGCGCCAATTCAGCTGCATCTTGCTGTACTTCACGCAGTGCCGATGAAGCAGCCTCCAGCCGGGCCGCAACGCGCGAGCATTCCGCTTCTTCTTCAACCTTCTCCTCAACACGAGCTGGCGTTTCTTCCTGTCTTGGGTTTAAGAACTGCTCTTCTATTTCATCCAGTTTACCCTGAGGAAATAGATTTTTTAATTACTATACAGTAGTTATAAACACATGACTATGATTTCAAGTATTTTTTTATTGAACTTAATTAATCTGTAATTTAAGATAGGATTTTAGATAGAAAAAAATTTACGACACACGCGTAGGTCTTGAACCGCCGAGGTCAACAAGGTTCCGTGCTGTTGCTATAACCAATTGAATTACCGTGTCCTACACGTCATCGTCGAATTCTTTCAACCTGCATTTCTCGCGCATTGTATTAACCATATCATTACATTTTTTTGCAATCTAAAATCAATTTTTAATGTATCTGAATTTTCTTGTAGTTCACTTCTATTGCACCGCAATGTCTGTTGAACACTCGATTCATTTGTACTTACAGTCAAACAGCCTTACCAGCCATTATTATATGATCTATGTTTTTGGAAGTAGCAATGGAATTTACGACATCAAGACGCGTAATTAATTAACATATAACAGAGCAATATTTAACAGTATAATTTTAACATCTTCACAACACTAGTAAATTCTGAAGTTCTAACCTAAAGTTTTCTTAACCGTTGAACCCACCTGAGCCAGTTTTAACTGATCGAAGAGTCGGCTCGCGGCTTCTTGTCGGCCGGCATCACGATGCACTTCCACTTGTGCCTGAACAGTAACCAGTGCCTGTCGGTGCACGAGCAATTCGGCTGCCAGGCGTGTGGGCGGCGTCGTGCGTCGCACTGCCCCGGCCCATTGGTGAAGGTTGTCCAGGGCGACTTCACTGCGAGCCGCCTCGCTCGCCGCCGCCTCCAATTCACTGGCGCGGGCCGCTGCCTGCTCCCGCAGGGTGTTCCATCGAGCCGTTATGGTGTCCAGCTCGTGTTGGATCCAGCCGGGCATTATGTGCGCTTCGATCAATTGCCGCCCGATCGCCTCGATTCGCTCCACCCGCTCTTCGCTGCGATTGGCCATATAGTTTTCAAGGTCCTGTGATTTGATTTTTTTTATATTATAACTACTACCGTTGAGGTCTTTTGGTTTATATATAATAGTCATTTTTTAACCTGTTCTTCTGTATTTGTGTATCCGTGCCATTTTTGTTGTTGTTGTGGTCTTTTGCCAAGTTAGAAACATACTCCATAGGGCTTTTTGCGAGCACCATAATATAATAATAAACTGTCTAGATCCTTGAGTATTAAATTGCCATCATTTATCTCTCTCTCTCTCTCCGTCCCTTTTACAAATATCATCTCGCCCCTTCTTAGATTTTATTTCACACTTCTCACAAATTACAACAACTTTACTATTATATAAATAGTGAAAGGAACATAAAGCGTTGTTTTTCAAAATAATATTAGTCATTGTTATCATGTAAATCACTTCAAAAAAAGAGACACGCTATATAAAGTGATGTTAACTATCTCGTGGTCTTTTCCTTACATAGAGTTCATCGGATATCTCCTCGGCGTCAGCGCGTGCGGGCGACGTGCGTAGACGACGTTGAAGGCCATCCAGCCACGCCGCTTGTTGTGCCAGCCAAGCACGAAGTTCACCAGATTCGTGCCAGGCTTCCGCGAGTACCCTGATAACGTCAAAATCATACCTTTAATATCTTTCGGGTGCCATACAATAAAATAAAATGGTGAAATTTTTGATGACCCTAGTTAAGTGGGCGATATCACTCTCTATATTTTTAAATTATATTTTGTTTTTGTCTTATATTTTAGATTTGTGTGCAAAGTAACCTATATACAATACATTGTGTAAGGCTTTCACAACCATCGTTTAGCATATCATTGTTTTTCGGGCTGTTCGGCCGACGTAAGCCTGAAAACCTAAATCCATTTTCTACACGACATCTTTATGTTCATAAAGAGTCACTTTTACGTACTTGTATCTCTCGTAAATGGCGTGAGTGACCCGCGTCCAAACCGCATTGAGATGAGTGAGACGCCGAGCCAGACCGCTTGCGCCACCTTCGGCCACCAGCAGGATATCATTGCCTTAAAATATTCAGAATAATAAAGAACTAATTCTACCAAACAATCAATTAATCGAGATTTACTTTATGACTCAGTCCCTCAGTCAATATGTTTACAGTTTTATTAAGGACATTAAAACAATACTTAATTTTTTTAACTCACCAGCCTCGTTCAACCCCCGAAACTCTTCAGTCTTGTCGTCACACTTGTCTTTGAGCGTCTGAAATCTGGTTTTCATCTGGTAGAGCTCACCAGAATCTCTGATCGTGCACTCGTCTTCTTTCGGTATCTCATTCTCTATGTCTTGTAACCACTGTTCCACATTATCAATGTTTCTAAAGATTCCCTCAGTCTTCTCCAGGCCCCTTCGTAAAGACTCATTTAATTTAAACGAGGATGTAGTTACTTCGTTGAATCTCTTTAGTAGCTCTTTTGTATCTGTTTTTAGTGATTTTGACAGCATCTCATCGCAGTCTTCCAGTATGGTGTTCTTTATTGACTCAATGTTGTCTAACTTTGATCTATATTTCGGTTTGTCTTCATCGAGATTCTGAAATTTGAAACAACAAGACGTTAGATAGTGACCAATCTAACTAGTTATGAATCTTGTACATAATTTTATCTCAAACTCTTACGTTGCTGTCAATTAGTATCTTTTCAAGCGCCGTGACGTCACCGAGAGGCACAGTAGTGTATTTGTCCACAAACTGTTGCACCTGCTGGACCCAGACCTTAACTTCATTTGACTCTTTTTCTAATGTGTCTAGCAGTTCTATACCTGAAAGATTAAAATATAGCTGTAGATATGACACACACAATAATTACAAATAACGATACACTTGAAACATATTGAAATTTACCTCTCTGTAATTTTTGTATTTTCTGCTCTAATATCGTCTTTGAGTCTGTAAACCTGGTTACTAGGTTTTCAAGGCTGCTCCTCAGATTTAGCTCTTCGACACTCCCTCTCTCGTATTGCTTCTTTTCCCGCACAACTTTATCATAAGACGATTGGATCTCTTCGAAGTTTATCTGCAGCCGCTTTAACTCCACCAATCTCTTCTCCATTTCCTCCTTCGAGGATATAATCGCATGTTCAGCTATAATCTGGCCTTCCATATCCTGTATCCTCCTCTGCACCATGTTGTGTTCGTCTTCGTTTGTTTCGAGGGGCTTCTTGTTGATGGCCAGCTTAACTTCCACTTCACGTTTGCTCAGATACGTGTAAAGCTCCTCGAATTCTTCGTTGATTCGTTTAGTGTCCGTTTCGACGTAGTCCTTGTGACATTTCGGAATCGGTTTCGTAAGTAGAATGATCGATTGTGCGTTGAGTTCCTTCAGTTTGATTTGCAGCTGCCGCATTAGACGCATTTTGTTCCGTAGATGTATGAGGTGATTGTTACTAGGCTTATCCGACTGGGTCCGATCACGCCAAGTGGACACGTCTTGCAGATCAGTTTGCAAAAGACGTAAGTTCCGGTAGAAAGAATCTTTGTCTTCTAGCAGGTTAATTGCGTTTCGGATATCGGTGAGACCGCGTTGGATTTCTTCCCATCGACGTTTTAGTGCCTCGATGCTTTCAGAGTGTCTTTGTGCTTCTTCTGCAAGTATGAGAAATATTATTACTCGAAGAAGGCAATAAAAATAGACCATTATTGTTTATTTTACTTCTTATTTATGTTATTACAATCCAAATTGTAGTACATAAATAAAAACTCACCTCTAAGGCTAGTGTCGGCAGCGAGGCGGATCTGAATTTCCTCAACATTGGCGAAGTCGGTACGTTGTTCTTCGCTCTCCTTCTGTACTCGTTGCACGACACTTAGAATCTGTTCGCGGTCACGCGCTGCACATTCACTCTCCAGTTTCTCCTTACACTGTAAATATATACGACAAGTATTTTAGTATATAGTTTTTTTTTTATGAAAAAGGAGGACAGCCAGTATGAGTTTCACTCGATGGTTGGTGAAACATCAAAACATATTATAGACATTCGGAAATGCACAGGCTGAAACCGAAACGCGATTAAAATTGACGGCTTTTTCATTTGTGCACGGTGGTTCATGGCCCGGACGAAATTTGGACATTTTCAGACGAAGTTCAACATGTATAAATCATTATAATTTTATTAGAAAAATGTTTCACTTGGTGGGGATCGTGCTCGTTGATTATTATTAGTTATAAATTGCGCTAACGAGCCCGCCAAAAACTTATACAACATACGTTGTATATCATAAAAGCAATAAAAAAATAATTTTTAGTTAAAAACAAACCTGTTTCAGTGCTTTCTCAGCATTATCAGCCCAGCTTTCGAAAGCGCGATATCCCGCTTGGAAGTCACCTGCGCGTTCTAACCTTGGCTTTTTCTGTTCATGACTGAACACGGTTACTGAAGTGCTTGTCGCATTGGAAACGGGAGGTTCGTCCGTCAAGTCCAGTTCGAAGCCGAGGTCCCTGATTCGATGTAATTGCACTTGCAAGATCATCTCTAGCGCATCTAGCCTGTCGTGTAATTCTTCACCGCGTTCCGATAGCTGTCCTTCTACACCTGCCAACTGTACTTGTTGCAGGTGCTGCACGAGCGCTGCGCGGGTTTCCTTAAGAGCCTGTTTGCATCGTTGCAATGAACCGATACGAGATATCACCTCACCGATCTCGCTCGCCGGATTAGCTTCCATCTGCATCAAAATAATTAGACGATTGAGTGATGCGTAAATAATAACACATTTCTGTGTCCTTATCACAGATCAATTTTAATTAAAGCCTGCTTTAGCGTTTTGAGATCAGCAAGCGAAATCCTGGCTTCGCTTGCTATATTTGTCATACTGACGTGCTACAAAACTAGATTCTAAGTATATATTTTACTTTCCACTGTGTAACTATTAAAATCCTTAAGTTATGTACAACTAATAATTATCCTACTGTTCCAATTGAGTCACAAATGCGTGTACGTCCCACCTGTTTAAGATCCTGCTCAAGCGTATCTGCAGCTCGGTACAGATCTGCGCTAGTCGTGTGCAACGCGTACGCATCTTGAGCTCGTTGCAATCTGTCGAGAGTCCATTGACAAGCGTGAGACCACCTCTCGCCTAGTGCTCGCAGCTGATCCTCTATTTCCGTTACCTCTGCAACAAATATTTTATCATATACATTTCCGTACAAAATTATAAATTAAACATATAAACTGTTTAGAATTAATAGAATCGTTAACTTTTGAGGAGATCAATTTTAATAGAGGATATATCGATTTCAACGAGAAGCCAAATTTTCAGTAATTTAAATTTAATCGTTATCTCGATAAAACTAACACTTTATTTCTTAACTTTAGAAGCGCTCAAAAAGCCTTGTTATGACATTGTTTAATGAAAAGTGCCGCCAAAAACCCACGTGACACGGCGTGACTTCACCCACGAAAGACGTATAAAACAAAAGATATGTATGCAACGTGAACATTGTCTTACTGTCGTGTTCGTGATCGTCGTCGACAACAACCACACAGTCCGCGAGCGCGTCTACGAGCGGTTGCTGCGTGCGTAGATCCGCGTGCAACTGTCGTGCAGCGGTCAACGCGCTTTCCGCGTCTTCACCACCCTCTGCTTCCATATGCGACATGCGGTCTTCTGTGGCGGTCAACCATTGCCTTAAAACGGAAAATAGGATTTAGTTTCACAGAGTCACTCTTTTGATGATGGACATATATATATTTAAATAAAACCCTTTAACGGTTTAAAACGCGATATATTAGTTAAACTTATTTGAAAATGATTTTTAATTTCGGCCCGACGTTTCGGATGCTTTGCAGCAGCCGTGGTCACGGGAAGACTGGACATATATATATATTTTTGATTATCCTACATAGACATACAATATATTATGAACTGTAAACGATACCGCCTTGCGGTTTATGCTTCGTTGTTTATATGTGAGTATCGTAATCGAGTCGTAGTATGAAAGAATATAGACAATGTATACTAGCAACTGACCGGAAAGTGTTAAGATACTCGTGTTGCGCGCGCATGAGTTCGGCGTGTATCGCACTCTGCCTCTCCATGGCTGACACTCGCAGCTGCTCCCACCGCTCGTTCAGCAACCGCATTTGTAGGCGCACCTAAAATATACAACCAATTAGTAAAATGTACCTTCAGAACCTAAATAACTTGCGTTATAAGTACAATACAAGGTTTTGGATAAACTTAGATATTTCCGCAGACAAGAAGGAATTTGTCTTAGCTACCTAAGAAAACACTAATAGATGAACCAAGATATTTCAACTCTTCTCTAGCTAGTACATATATGAGATATGATTTCATTTAAAAAAAGGTTTAGTAATCGCTAAAAATAGAAAATAAAAAACGAAACAAGAATGTCTCAGAAATGCCGAGTCTCGCCAGTATTTTTTTTTCTGATGGGAAACTTAAAATGACTATATAATTATCAAGAATAGTAGCACCTCGTTTGATTCATCCTTGGACAGGGCCGCGTCTCGAATCAGCCTAGCACCTTCCTCAAGTACGGCGCCCACGCGACATTGCTGTTCCGACAACTCCAAGAGGAATTTCTGAAAAAATATGATATTTCTATATAATATACCAACGGAATATAGAAAAGCAGTTAACAAATTTAAGTTTTAACGAATTATCAATAATTAAGATAGCAATCAGTTACCTCGTGTGTATGGAAATGCTCCTTAAGGTTAGCGAGATGCTGACCAGGATGTGGACACTGAGACGGATCTGGAAGCGTATGCGCAGCGAGCCTCTCCTCGCCGTCAAGTAACGCCGTTAGAGCCTCCTCTAACGCACCACCATAAGCACCAAGCTCCACTGAACAAGTGGTCGCACATGATAAAGGCCGTGAAGGCGCTACGCTTTCTGATCCACCCTTGAAATAGGTAATTAGAAAATAGTTAACATCGATAGATACATTTCATAGTATAAAAAAGCAAACGGCACTAGTTATGTGTGCCTTTATTTGTCACAAATTATAAAAACAAACCAGTTAGAGTATAATACAGATTTCTTAACTGACTATAAACTATATTATATGATAACTTTGTAATTAAGGTATTTGTTTTGGCATTATAAATTTTCTTACAATATTTATCTAGTACATTACTAGTGGTTTTTATTTGCTAGGTGAAGACTTCTAATTACGATCAATTTTACCTCAGCGTTGTCAGTCTGTAAGGAGTCACCGTTCGCAGCATCCAGTTGCGCCACATCGTCAGTGCAATGCGGAAGAGATTGGAACAGGCACATCACATACATCATTATAGACTTCTTGTCTGGGTTTGGGGTATTTACATCTGTAAGAATATGGAAAATTATAAGAGATTATTAAATCAGATCAACGACAAGAGTCGAAATAATCATCCTGTAGTTAACGTCAGTAGGAGTGTAACAATCAATATATTTTGCGTTTTTAAACCGTTAAAAGTTTTCTACATAATAATCGGTCTTACTAACGATGTCTATACCAAGATTTAAAATCACGTTAGCTTCTGTTAATTTTGGGGCTTTTGCAAAACCATGAAGAAAATCCGTTAAACTTAAGAGATATAATTTCTTACCTTCCGGATCCAGTAGGCGATCTATGAAGAGATGTTTTTGCGCCAGCGCAAACGCATGTTCCAAGCGTTCTGCCGCTGGACGCAAACGTAGCTCAGAGAAATCGAACAGATGTGGCCGGAACCTATGCAAGAGAGCATTAAATGCGAGTCCGTCCGACCAGCTAGTCGTGAAATTCGATACGTTGACGTCCGAATAGTTCTGAAACACAAAACAATAGCATCAAATGAGAACATGAAAATAGTACGTATTTTTAATTAAAAACCAAACTTGTGCTTTCCCCATCGAAACAATATTAATTTGATAAGGAGAGATAAAAAGCAGAGCGTGTAGCAGACTGTCTTTTTATATCTGACCAAGTGACTTTATGTACAGACGTTTTATTCTGAACCTGAATGAGAGACATTTCCCCTGGGATCGAAATTCGGGATCTCGTACATTTTACGCAACGCTGAGCATACCAAAAAATGATAAAGGTGTATTAATAATGAATTATAGATACTATTTCAATGGAATAAACATAGGGCTGTTTTAACCTCCGTGGGTCAATGGTTAAATACATTGCCCAATATTGCATTAAGCGAAAAACATTCAGGGTTCGCATACAGGAAAACGTAATAATTTCGCTTAGACGTCTGATTAACTACATACCTGTAAATCAAATAAATCAATCGACAAAAACCAAAATATAATTCCGTGGTTCCTTCATACTTCACGCAGCGAAAACAGAATTTCACACATTTTAAAGTTTTTGTTAGTAAATAACTCACTTGTGTGTGTGTTCTGCACCAGGCGAGCAGCGTCTTCTCCAAGTTTGTCTGCTGCAACTCCGACATCAGCTCCTTGAGGTGATAATGCACTTGCCAGTGCAGGATGATACTCCAGACCAGGCCGAGCACCAGCTTCGGATTGCCGTCCACGATGTCGCCACTGCTGATATTCACGAGACGAACTCCTGCCGAGGCGAGAGCCCGCAACGCGCAGTTTACATTGTTGAGCTGGTGGACACGCATGCGCCCGCGCTCTCGTTTCTGCAATATTATTTATCATAATCAATATCGTTTATTGATTATGCTCGTTGATGATTGGTTTTGTTTGGCTAATAATCAACCGGACCCGGTGTGCAACATTTTTTTAATTTTTGAATGTATGAATATGTATTGGTCTCGATCGTGAGTGATTGATAGGAATATCGAAATTCCATCCAGTTCACGAAGCTCCGTCCACAGATGAAAAAATCCGTGAAGTTTAATCGCGTTTCGGTATCAGTCTGTGGATTTACGAATATGCCAAATCAGGTCGACAGCGCATCTTGTATACATGTTATTTGGCTAGAGTATTTCACCTCCCAGCAAGTTAACGCCCCTGCCTTTGTGTAATAAAATAATAATGAATATGAAAAGGATTATTATACCACCTTGGGTTGCCTGGAAGAGGTCGCTCGTTAGCGATAAGGCCGCCCCACTCCATATTTTTAGTATATAAGTCTCGTTTCTATTTTTGTTCATTTTTTTGTGCAATAAAGTGTAATAAAAAAAATTTTTAAAATATATATAACATAAATCAATATTTAAATGAGAACAATGCTTGGGATTTCAAAGAAACCTACTCTAATAAGATATACACATTAAGCGCGTAAGGATTGTAACAAAAACATGACAATAAAAGAAGTGGCTGGGAGTTTCTTGTCACTTCTTGTTTGTTCGTCGCCAATAATGTGAGAAACGGTAATAAATATAAATTTAGAGTTTTTACTTCTTAACTGTATTGACATGCATAAGTGTACCTAGACCTAAACAAAAAAAATATATTTTATTTTATTAATTTTTCAGTAAATTGAATGAAACAAATGATGGCAATAATTCTTTCAACCCATAATAGATTATCTTTTACAGTGTTTTATTTGTTACTTATATATACATTATTAGACTTACTAAATGTTGATCGGTGAGTATTTCCAATAGGGACAGCAACACCTCGCCATCGCGCAGATCTTGGAATAAGTCTTCAACCAAGGGTTTACCGTGCTGGAAAGTGTAGAAATTATGTTATTAATTTATTGTATGTATTATACCTGTACCAAAACGAGGGAAACGTTAAGGAAATACGATTATCTTAAAACCGAACTAGACTCGCGCAATCCATTCGGTACAGTGCCATATCTAATAGTTTCTCCCAACGCGGTTGTTATATCTTAATCAAACGTAATTTGCAGTCACAAATAAGAACCGTACACAACCAATAGAATAGACTTCCCTGCCCTGCTTAACAAAAACAATTATTTTCCCAGAAATCGAACTTAGGCTCTTTTGCGTCTTAACCTTTAAACCACAGAGGCGGATAATTTTATTGTCCCATAGGTTTAAAGTCTCTCGACTGTATACGTAAAGCCGTTAGCAGGAATTATTCCGCTTGTATTATTCCGTATTATAATTCTTAGCTTAGGAGTATTGTACTTCGGAACCTTTGTCTTTAAATACGAGCGTCGGTATTTGTGTCATCTTAACCGTACTAACGAATTCAATACACCCACAGCAAGTAGTGCGCAAGTAATTGTAAACATTTAACACGCCCCCTGTTACATAACAGACTCGTAGTGGAGAACTTACTCAGATAGTCCATTCATTCATGTCGACGACCTGTCGCACGCGCTGTGTCCAGTTTTATATAAAAAGCAAACTTATTACAACGTAATTAGACCTCTAACAGATGGACAACTATCGGCCGATGAATGCTAATCGATCAAAGAATCAGTGTCCAATATCATTAATTATTATTTATTGATAGACATAGAGGAATGCAATAAAACACCATTGAGAATAATTGGCGTCAATCTGTGGCGCATTCAAATGCGACTCGGTGCATAGTTTAATTTGAGGATACTAAGTTATGTATTACATACCTTAGCTAGCTGCGAGTTGATCCATTTCGCGAACGTTTTCTTTTGTACGTCTTCTCTTTCATCTGAAAGACAAAATCCAAAATCATTTAGTAAAATAAAAAATTAGTCAGTAATTTTTAGGTTTAACAATTATTGTCTTAAAGTCATATATTTTCCTGTTTTATTATTTTGAGAAATATCAATTTTAAAAAGGCAGGGACGCTAATCATGTCGATTCAAGTCCTGCCCAAGTCGAAAAAAATTTTCAATTTATTTTTGATTGTTAATCTATATAGATTAAAGTATTTTTAAAAGGTTTTGTGACAAAATCGTAAATGAAAACAAAACACCACCTTCTTTAGTACTAGGTTGCCTAACTTACGCCACTCAAAGAATGTACATACAAAGTATTTGAAGAAATTGGAGATGGGAAGGTTTAATACATCAATTCACAATTACATACAGTTAATATAAGGCGTGGCACAAACGAACGCCTCCCAAGTCTTCAGCAACGTCAACATTACGTTATCACTGCATCCCCAATACAATCACAGGAATCCAATAATGATGGATAAACTTTTCAAACCCGCGGTACGTCAACCAGAACCAAGAATAACAAATGACATCGCTTCGCAACCTTTCCATTAGCACTACTATGATAACATTCATAGATTTGCACTAGTAGCAGCATTATTAGCTCGAACTGAACATATTTTAATGCAAAAAACTGTGTAAGAGAATGTTTCTAAAACTTGACACTACCAAAGATATAGAATATCGGAAGTGAACTAGCCAGAACATCAGGCGAAGATTTGCTTCATCGAGTTTTATGATAGGCCGCGCCTGCAGCCTTGTGGACGACCTTACATTTTCATACATCGGTTAGACTTCTTAATCCTCAAAATGATACACAGGAACCAAAAACGGTGAAATTGAAGGAAATATGAAAATACGTTAATTTCCGCTGTAAGTTATCGTTCGCTAACACATGGCAACAAAACATAGTGAAAAGTGTTGTAGTACGACATAATTAGCAGGTATGATACTGACACAAATGAAGGTCATTTTTTACCATATACGACGTGCGATGATACATCCAAATACCGTTTACAGAATTAATGCAAATGTACTTTTGAACTAAAAATCTATACTAACATATAAAGCTGAAGTGTTTGTTTAAACGCGCTAATCTCAGGAACTAGGGGTTCGAATTGAAAAATTATTTTTGTGTTGGTTAGATAGAGCATTTATCGAGGAAGGCTATAATCGCCATGTGCCTAATACAAGCGAAGATAAAGCGGGAAATGTGAACTTTTTTTTTATTAACTTACAGCTAAGAACAGAAACTAAGAATTAGGGAAATAAAAAATTTAATGTGAAATCCCGAAAAATACTCTGATCTTTCCGTGAAAATGTGAAAAAAAATCGACTTCTGTTTAGAGCGTAGTTGTATGCGACATTATATGTGATTATGAATAATATTATGTTATTTCACGACTCGTAATATTGTTCGCACGTGACAGAATTAGTGGCGTCCCGTTGCATTCCATTTTAGTACCGGAAGGGGTATGTTGTGAGCTGTTATGTTGGTAATTAGTGGCTTCATCGCTGCAGCTGAGCGTTTTCAACTGTCTTACAAACAAAAAAATTGGACACCCTTCCACACATAAGCCAGAATATTATTTTGTATACAAAATATATTTACTGTAAAGTCAGTTCATCGACTCCACCATAAACTCTAGCTCGTAATGTGTATCGGAAATCGTTGTATCATAGCTCATCGCTTATGCAAAGCGCACGCGCAGGTTCTAACTGTAATGGGTTTTCTGCTGGCACACGATGACATGGGGCTTCCGTCGAACGACAAACGATTGACAAACTTAAGTCTTGTCCCTTTAGGATATTTCGAATAGCTGTAATAGCTAAGCAGAATTATAAATCCACCCACAGATTGTAAGGCGGATCCGATTACATACATAAAGAGGTAGGTAGTGCTATGGCGCCGACCGCGACTACTTGTGGATGAAGTACAATTTGTTCGTTGTCATTTTATTTGAATCTTAGGACCTACCTAGAGGTAATATTTAATAATAATTTGACTAAAAAGTCTATGCTCTATACTATACGTTCAACATGAAGTGTGTAATATAGTCAATTTCAAGAATCACATTTATAATTCTGTGTAATCAATAAATTATAATTCAGATGACAAATACAAATATAGAAGAATGAAAACCAACCCACATATCGTGAAGGTAGGCGGAGTTGGCTTTCACGTGGATCCCTAGTTTTTTAGCATCGTTTCTTGAAAGGTGTGACGCGGCGCGGGCGCATGAAAGTTGCGGCTCCCTTATTCGACTAATTGCTGTGTGACCCAGTATCGGTTACTTAATGCTATTCTCTCTGTGTGGGCTGCATTTATGAGTGGTGATGCAGAAAGTCAAATTTATAGTCTATACGAGTATACATTTCGTAGGCAAAACCAACTAGTCGCCATAACGATTTAATGGTCTACGCCCACGATCCATGTGCTGGGATGTCGATAGCTCCGTTCAAACAGCAGTAAATCAGGAGCAAATACTAGACAAAAACGTAATTATTTTGGAAATATATTTAATTATTTAGAAATAAAACACTGTTTAAAACGCGAAATATATTAGTTAACTTATTTACAATTTATTTTAAGTACGGCCCGACGTTTCGGTTGTTCGCAGAAATCGTAGTCGCAGATGTGTAAAATTGTTTTATTGTATGTGTACGTGTAGTATTCGCATAAACTACTGACAACAATTAAACTTTTATGGAATACTTAAAGGAAATTCAATAATTTAAATCAGCTTGTTGCAGTAACAATTTAACGGGGTGTGATAGCTCCAACCACTGTGGGCCGAATGAGGATTAAACACCTGGAATATTCAAACAATTGGCGATGTAAGTATAGTGTCTATGTAACATAATAAAATAATGTATTGCCCATATGTATGCATACATGCGTAAATTCTCTCCGTCTCTTATAAAACTCGCATATAAACGAGATCATTGTTAAACCAGCGGTTGCACAAAATAAGGAACCATCTGCATCTTAGTATTCAAGGTGCATGCACAACTAATATTTTGCTTGGCTTGGCCCCCTTACACTGTACTGTGTGTTTTCTCTTTACTCTTACAAGATAACCATAAGATTCAGTGCTAAATCAAGTTAACTTCTTTAAAACTACCTTTCCCGTTTTATACAGATATAGAGTATAAAAATAAACATCATGATTAATTCATTTCACTATAATTAATTATTACTGAAATCTTTTTGGCAAAACACAATTCATTTATACAATTATGAATCATACTCATAGGCCCAAGTTCATGTTGTTACCTGTCGATAAGCTACTTATTAAAAACTGATCTTATTATAATGCAAGAACTCTCTGAGCAAATTAAGTACAACCGTTGCTACACTTTATGTTCAGTAATGTTTCATTGGAGTTTTAATCTAATAGAGAAATTAATTAGTGTGAGCTCAGCTAAATTTGGAATGTACCAACAATTGTGTAGTAGTAGAAATTAGTGTCATGACATCATCTTGTGCGTAGTTGTTAATATACACTTTATGTCATCAGATCTCTCTAAAGTATTATTACTTTTAATAGAATTTATACCGTTACTTATTTGTCCTAAAAGGGGGTACGGGAAAATGGGTGAAATGGTGTGAGCCCGATTTAGACCCATCTCATGGCTCATTTCTATTGATGTTCTCAATAGGAAGTAATAATAATTAAGTTTTAAAAAACTGGTGATATAATATATGATAATACATCAAAAGTGATAAAGAACATTTATTTTTTTCCATACCTACTCAAACTTATATTTATTATAAAATGAAGTTATTTTTAAAAACAATTATTATTTTAATAACATTTCATTAGGCCTTGTACAATTTGGATAATAAAAACCAGTTCAGTGTAACATAACACAGAGATTTCCTCCAGATTTCTTATAAGAATTAGTGCATGACACACACAAGATGAATGCTATGCGAGCTAGTTGCATGTTGCTAGTCCAACTGCACATGCATATTGCTAATTTGCTGAAAGTGAACTGGATATAAAAAAGTAAAGATATTTTAATTAGAACATATTAGACACTATTAATCTTATACAATAAGTTTGCACTCAGAATGTAATGCCATAAACTTTTGGAATTTGTTCCAAAAAGTTTTTTTTTACTATTTAAAAAAGTCTCTTAATACTACAAACATTTTAAAAAGTTTTACTCTGAATACTTTACTTAGCTTAATTCTTAATTCAAATATTTTTAAGTTAGCGGAATAAGAACTTGAAGAAAATTAAGTGAGAGTAAGAAATAAAGCAAACTGACCTATTTGAAGTTTATCCAAAAATTGATAAACACTTTATTGAGAGTTATCTCGTAAAACGATAATCCGGGACATAAGAAAGGAGTCTGCTTACACTTTATCATAGTGTACATAGCAAAAGATAAGATAAGATGCTAGTCAAAAAAATGTCAACCAAAAAGTAAAACGCCTTAAACGTCTAATTGCATCACAGCCTGATTACTTAAAATCTTCAGTAGCTTCAAGGTCTACTTAAGTAATCGAAGCGTTAATCGAGATATGAAGTCGCTCTGTCGAATGCACAGTCCTAATCGTATAAATATTTTTCACTTACCGACACCATTATTTATCTCCATGTTTCTCTTTTCCCACACTTCTAGCCGTGTTTAAGTTAAAATCCAAACTTTCAGAGACATGACAATACACACTTCGCCACTCCCAACTTTAAAACTTAGTTAAAACTTTTTATCGCGCACTAATCTTTACCCAAACTTTTTCTTGAGTTAACTACGCGTCTTTATAACTACTTAATTCACTTTTATTCAAAAAAGTGTATTAATAATGCAACGAATACGATTTGTTGCAACTGCAGCACAAACTTCGAACTCGGAAAGACAAGTTAAGATTTCTTCAAGTCGAAACAACAAAATACAACAGAACAGACTACAGACTGATGAAAGTCGAATGACGCACTACAGACTATGTAGCGCTATTGGCGGGTAATCGGTAATGCCAGTCTCAAAAAATAAATTTTTGTCGGATCACAAAAAATCTTTTTAAAACAGATGTAATATGATGCAAATAAGTGGATTTATTAGTAACGCTATATAATAGAATATGTTTATTTAAATCATAATGAATATACCCAATATTAATTTACAAAATAATATTTTATGCTAAGTCATAAAATAAAAAAAAAGCTTACTTTTGCTATGATTTAAATGCACTTCGTACGGTCCCGTCCGATATGGAGGAATTTCGCCTATTTCAACAATCCAAGTCAGCTTCCTTTGCCGCAATGGTGAAGGGAGCGCCATCTTGCAGTCGGTTCTTGTACTTCATTTCTTAACTTTAATCCATTTGAATCACGTATACATTACGAGCAGTAATTATAACATTTCAACGACAAAGTCACTTTACATATTACCTAGAGGGCACCTCAACTGCGACTAATAAATTTTGCTTATACTTAATTATAATAATATTACAAGAATGATGTCTACTTTAATTAACTTCAATGGATATATAATATATTTTTTAGTATTTGATATTAGAATTATCACTCCTACCACAAGTCATTTAGAGCAAACCGTTATTTTAAGCTACAAAACCAATTTAACACATACTTACCGACTGACACACAGAAAGCAAAAGTTGCCTAATATTAGTCTTAACTAAAACATAATTTTATGTAGAATGTCAGACAAAGGGCTGCTTTCTCTGTCCATGAGGCGTTGGTTTTTTTGCTATTTTTTGATAACTATCTGGTTATTTTAAGTCGCGTCGCTTATAGAGTCCGTTCGACCTTGAACGAGGATCGAGCAAACCAGTAAGTGGTTACTGGTGTCCACTAACGAAATGTAATACGTATTTTCGTTTATTACATTGTTTGCAATTACTAAACTTTTCACGAGAGTGTATTAAATAAGACACTCGCAAAAATGAACGATGAGAGACTACAAAATAAGCATCCAATCATGAAATAAATTAAAATAGATATGTGAGAGTTATCACATAATGTTAAACCGTACATAATCTTATCATTTTTGTAATATGGAGTTGTAAATGTACAGTGGCCAGCCTATTATTACTTGATCAACTATAATGGGGGTAACGTGAAGTGGAAAATATTTAGATTTAGTGTTAAAAAGAAGGAATGCATCATATATGTTTTAGTGGGTCTAATATTCTAAAACACATTTATACCTCACGATTCGTATGAAACTAAGTTATGTAGCTGTGCATATCTAAAGATAGGAACAGCTCTAGTCCAGCAGGTTAAAATACGCGGCACACCGAACCCGCGCCCTTGCTGTCACGAGATAGCTATGCAGATATACTATGTATGTGCCTTTATCATATTCTTTTTATCTTGTCTTTATAGGTGCAGCCAGTATAAAAAAGGGGAGCAATAAAGTTGTTACTTTTAACGTGTTTCTTATGTATTACGAAATTATTTTCTTACTGATGATATGTACGTAATTTAGTAGTCACATAGAGGTAGTCGGGATGTTTAAGTTGAATATGAATCATAGAGAGTCGTCAAGCTGGATTAAATTCTTAATGTGACCTTTTGTTTGCCTCTTCAGAAATGATAGGTGTTTATCTAAATAAAGTGCTCAACACACTCTTAAAATATGGTAGATCTTTAAGTGAAAATACATGTAATTATATATTTTTTTTAATTTTTGGGTTTTCTAAAATTCTATACGCAATTCTTTCTTTTATTTTAATTAATTAATAATATTGATTTCTTGCTTTGATTGATTCTTAAAAATCTATTATAGATTGAATAAATTCGACTACACATAACCTGGCAAACCTGGTAAACATTTTAATTGTTTATTGTAATTAATTTATTTCGAACTTGTTCATTACGCAAATTTGTTTTGACCGTTTTGTACATATACTCGACTAAAGTATGCGCGTAGTGAGGTACCAATTTATGAGTTGTATATGTACAAATTAAATATTTAAAGATTGTAACTTGTATTTTTTCGGTTCCAAGTTACTGCAACACGCAAATAATTATATTCGTCTTATATTTTTCTTATTTCACAAGTATGTAAATATATGCAACTTAAAATATCGTTACTAGTTATTCCAGTAGTAACTAGTAACGATATGGGTAGACATATAAAGCAATTGAGTTCACTGTAATGAAGCAGTCCAGTTAATTTCACACTGCATTAAAATGCATCCAAAGACACACATAGACATAGCTAATCTAAGAGGTACCATTCGCTCGTAACATACTTTATTTTATCTAAGATAGACTTGAATCCTTATCGATTTGATTTAAAAGTTAAGTAATAAGATACGTACTATATGATAAAATAATGGACTTTTAACTTACTGATTTTTTAATGTGCATACCTACTTAAATATTTTTTATTAGCATTAACGAACGAAATCAGATAACAATCTACTTTGAGAATTTTGAATTTGTTTAATTAGTTTAATTAATTTGTGGTATTTGCTTTCTATGTAGGTACATTGCTTATGTGACTCCTACATACTTTATATACATATTTCAGTCTTATTTTGTCAATAAGACAAAGTAGGAGGCGTTGACAGTGAGCACCACATGCACATCGCATCTTGAAAAGGCAATACGCAAAATTCCTACTGTTGAGGTCGTCACTATGAATTATTATAGTGATAAGTACAAAAATTACATAAATTGTTTTGAAATGTGCGAATTGACTCGTCCAATAATTTATATTTCAAGAAAATAAATTACTTTGTTATAATTTTGTTAATTACATGCAAATAGGGAAATTAACTACAACTAAACATGTAATGAATAATAATATTTCAACACGTTAATTCCTAAAATGTTTATTATTATCGATTATTGACGTTTATCTAATCGCATCCGCGTAGAGGTGAAAAGTGTTGAACAAAACGTAATAAATAAAGGTTTATCACTGACACAGTGCACTTTATCATAGACAATCACGCACCACACTTGCATTAGGCACATAAAATTGTTGAACTATTTGAATGTTGCTACAAGCGACGTACAGAATGCGCGCGCGCTTTCGCCAGCCATCGATACGTGCTCGCGAGCTGTGTATCGATTTACCACTGTTCACTTATTGAAAAGGCGGGAAGGCTTCATATCAGAAACAATAATATCCACTCTGTATTAAGCCAAAGAGAAGAATTGATCAATAATGACGTTTCTTTGATAATGCACTTACTTGTGCGCAATCAGACAGCAATTAACAGCGCAAAGGGACGCTAAACATTCTTGTCTCAATTCGATTCAGTTACAATTAGATGATGAATGAGTAGAAGACGATAAATATTTTCCACTTTCTCTTTTATTTCGTTGGATGTAGGTAGTTGATGTCACTTTGTAAACTTTACAAACAAAATATTTTTTTACATAACTACTAGTATCTGTTTGAATAAAGTAGAAAATATATCTTTTAGGTATATTATACATACATACGCGTAATGTGACAATTAATCAAATAGCGTTCATTGCTCTACTAACTAGGTAAAGGCTATTTTTTAGAAACTGTTGTACAGCTAATTATTTTGTTTTAATCGGAAAGTAATGAAACAACGTGGAAAGCATATTTTTGCAAAATCTGCAGGTGATTTTTATTTTATCCCTACATCTGCCAACCGGCTGTATATTTTGGATTGCACAAAACAGGTGTGCCGTGTCGACATAATTTGCTACAAACATCACTTTTTTTCTGCTTTTGAATTCTATATTCGTATTATCTTTTTGATTATAAGCTTAATTTTACTTTAACAAATAGAAGCTAATAATGAAATAAAAGGACGGTTGTTTTTTATGATTGAATATTTCGCATAGTTTTGGCAATTAATGCTAATTAAAACCGGTCACCGACCTCTAAGCCGTCAGCAGTCACCTCTTAGGGTGCCCTATAATTCACATCACTTCCATCAAAAAGTAAACAGAGACGAGACCGATTGATACGCAAATGACGAAACCGTAAAAACGATTAATTAACGCCAGTGACCTTTATTCACTTTTAATTATTATGTTAATAATAAAATTTTTTTAGCGTTTTAAATCTTTAAAAATAGGAATTACGGGGTATTAAATAATTAACATTATGTATCTAAATAGACTTACATTTTGATATTGATTGATGAAATAAAAACAAACAAAATTTTTTATTATGTTATTTACAAAAGATTTTTTGATTTAATTATGTCCAAAGGGATGTTGTATAATATACAATGTATATTATTATCGTGATATTACATTATTTAATTTAATTTTTGTATAAAGTGACATCTGTCAAGTCTTGAAAAATTCTTTGAAATATTCATGTTATTCCCATTGTACTGCCCGAAACTTTGTTTCCAATCAGTACAAAAGATGGCGCAAAACACAACGTATGCTTGGTGGCTTTTTAAACCTGTGTTTTAAAGTAAGAAAATAAAAATTGCAATTTTTATGCATATAAACAAGAGTGACTTTTCCTGAACTACACAGCAAGAACTTATTGCCCGGGCCAGTCTGGGAACCAGCGCTGCTGAGTGTGACAAGCATTCAGCAGCATAGCAGAGACTGGTACCGTTTGCCATCTCTTATTATATTTATTACTTATATTAGTATTATTATTATGCACACAATTTAGTTATAAGTTATAATTTTGTAAATATCTTATTATGGCAATAAAAGTTTTGAAATTTGAATTTGATAACTGCAAAGCACCCTTTACTTTTTTTATTTGAATTTACGTGGCGTCATGTTTGTTGATTAAGTACTAACAGTTTGCTAATTCATAAAGTAGCTTTTCATAATCTCAACTCCCTGAAAACTAAACTGATTCAAATACTATAGTGATTGATGTTTACCACCTCCCAGAGATATACCCGACCGGTACCACAGCAGCAGAGGTGTATTTGTTACTGCCTAAAACCCTGTGGCTTGAAAGATGTATGAATAAAAATAATATTTCTACGTTCTTCATTCAATCACTGGTCACGTTCAAACAAAAACAATATTTTCGAAATGTATACCAAACAGAAAGATCAATGCAAGAATATTGATTGAGCCACCAGCTTTTCATATTTTCATATTTTTGATGAGCCTCTATGCATTCGTTCGATGGAAGTGTGTGTCAGTTCGTCCCTGTCGGGTATTTTGAACGGCGCGGCCGGTGCCTGGCGCGCGGCACTACACAGCTTGTATGCGGGGCCAATACGACCTCACAGACGTACACCTACACATTTCCGGTTTCTTTGACCTATATCCGCTCATAATCCAGGCGTTGTGACCAACTTTGCAGTTTTGTGATCTTTTGTCTACATGTGAAAGTGAAGTGTCCCCTGGAAATCAAGTCTGCAACTGGCAATGAGTGGAGTGTCTTCTCTATTCTTAATATATATTAATTGTGGTGTTACCTGATAAATTGTGGAATTATGAATGGCAGATCAGACGCTTCCACATCAACGGACGATTTCCTGAATGTAAGTTATTTTGTCAGAAGAAGATTTGTAAATGTGACAATAGGGCTAAATATCGTAGTACTTTATGGCAATATAACATGAACTTTTTTCCTTTTTGGTGGTAGGGTCGACCGCTGTGCCTGTTTTACTTTACGCATCCATTCGGTGTACTATCTCCGGAACCGCCCGTCTGTAGCGTTATGACGCCACCAGCGCACCTCGCTCGAGCCTACTTCAATATGTCCGGAGCCCCTGTTCCTGCCCATTGGAGTCCGTCTTCTCACGACTACTGCACCGAATCTTCTTCCCGTACCACTCCAATACTCCCCATGTACCCTGATCCCCTCGACCAATTCCTGCGTAGGGACTCGGTTTCATCGCTGTTCTCGAGTGACGTGTGGTTAAACGCACCCAATCCTGCGACGATATCTCGCAGTCACAAGCTGCCGCCTCTCCAATTGACAGCACCGCGAGTCAATAGCCCTCCCTGTGCTCCCATTCTCCCACCAGCTCCGCATAGATTTTCCTTACCACCATTAGAACTGCCACTCAATCTTGAGTGCGAAGAGATTAGGGCGAGGTATGCGCGCAGCATTGCAAGAAAGCGACCACGACTCAGCAGCGTGCAGAGGATGATGACAGGATTGATGCGGAGGAAAGTTAAAGGTACTCAAATTGAATTTTTTTTATCAAATACAATATTAAAATGCCCATATAGTACAAACTAGACACGAAATCTTAGAGCTTCGTTTCTTGGTGAAGTCTTGGCTGTTGTCAAACAAGTTTGGTTACAGTGCATGAATCGCATATTAAGAATAGTCTTAGTTATCCTGAAATCTGATGCAGCCCACAGAGGTTACTAGATACATCTTCCTCATTGTTTTGTAATAATTTATCTCGTATACAATAGAGTAAGATCATGTTTAAATTGCTTTGGTGACCTTCATAGTAACTAATCCAAAGTAAATAAAATACTTTTAACGGCTGAAGACGTGATATGACGACAGTTAATAACATTTAAGTTTGATACGAAACTATATAACTTACATTGTTGACAATCTAACAAATAAATATCAACCAGGGAACAGAAAATTAAAACAAACTCATAGTTATAATGTCAGATATACTTATTATTAGGGTAAAGTCATTCTAAAGTTCGCCACTATCACAGTGAAGTAAAAGGACACGAGTATCACCAGCATGGTAACAGCAGGCACTATACATGCCAATGCCACGTCCCCCTCGAGGGCTGCGAAAGCAGAAATCACAGCAGCCAACACGGCGATCGCTGTCCAGAAAAGTACCATCACCCAAATGTAGACCTCGCAGAGCGCATCACTTTCGTGTAAGGAGCCACATATCAACAGTATATGCGCTGCCGTCAGCAAAACACCAGAAATCCCGCACAAATAACGCAGCGGGATAACCAGACAGCCAGGCAGGCCGATCTCTTTTGCGAAGTCTTCACCTGCAACAGTAAACCCGAGCAGCACTGCTGCGGAACCCAGCAAGCCTATCAGTCCAACTAAAGCAGCGCCTATCCGTAGTGGGACTGAGCAAAAGCACGCATGCACCGTTGGGCAGTCGTCTAAGATGTAACCCATAACTACACTTTACCATAACTCCAATTGTTGATTAGGAATTGGAAGTGCGCTTTGTGCTGTCACCTTTTTGATAACAAACATACTTGACAGTCATGCCCAAAGCAATTTGAAAAAGTTTTCTTTTAAATTAATTGTTTTCATAATGAAAACTAGAATTGTACCTAATGGTTTCTACTTTGTACACAAAATATTTTTACATAACATACAAAATATTTATAGATTGTCTTGCATGACTTCACATTATAACTTCTACATTAATAAAGCAATTCTATCGTATGTTCGTGGGTGAAATTTGTCTAAACAGAAAAAACTACTACTAAGTTTGTGTGTACTTCTTTGAAGCTACTGCCAGACCTTCGTACTTTTTACCAATGGATTTAGCTCAGCAATAGGCAACGGTATGTTTCAGCTATTTCATTGTTTTGAAGTTTTTAATTTATATGCTTCGCGCTTAAGTTTTTCGAATGACTTTTTTTGTTGGAAAATCGGCATGGAAAGATTGCCATTTAAAAATCCATACTTATTTAATAGACTTTATTCATTTCTCATTTCAATAAAACAAGTGTCACGGTTTAAAACGCAAAATATATTACTTAATTTATTTTATATACAATAAATAACTTTATTCACGTATATTTAAATAAAAATGTTGCATTATTAGCATTTATTAAACTAGGTCTCATCGCCACTGTCTCTTGACTGATCAGACGAGTCAAATTCGTCTCCTTCGGACACAAGCTCCATCTTCACATCGGCGCTACTTCCTGCTCCTTCAGCACCTTCCACCATGCCAGCATATTCCTCAGAACACATGTCTACGCTTGTAAACTCAATTCTTCTATTCGAACTTCTCACCTGTAAATTTGATGTAATCTTTGATCGATGATATATTGGGAATCGTGGGACAATTTTTACAGCTTTCGTGAGAGATAACTTTTATTTAATTAGTTTAGTGACTTAATCTTACAATAAAATTTAAGTTACTTTGTAATAATAACGGAAACATCTCCTAAAATGTATTAAAGATTTACCTGTTGTATCACCTTGAGTATCTCAACTCTGGCAGTCAGTTTCTCGTTATCAGTCATTTTTCTAAAAGACGGAATCAGCGACATCAGAAAGTGCTTGTCTTCGTCTATTGCTTTAGTGGGTTTCTGTTATCAATCACGTAATAATATGAATTTTAAATATGATAATTAAATAAAATAATTTTAACGCTTTACAACGCGATATATTATTTAAACTTATTTGAAAATGATTTTAAACTTACCTAATATATTTTTTTTTAGCGTTTTAAACCGTTAAAGTGTTTCACTTAGATGTGCACTACTCGCGTAAACTATAGACAGTATTTAAAAATATGATATTAAAGATAAACGGTCTGATTGGCCCCATCGGACCAACATGTTTGTGAAAATATTTCTGTTATTTAATAAATCAGTGATCTTAAATAATTTAGGATTAACGGTTATTTCATAATTAAATTACCTTCTTCTCTTGTACAACACTAACATGAGGAAGCAGAAAAAGCATGTGCTTGAAGTAGGCATATCGCCGACGCGCAGGCCCCTCGACCCCTTGCGCCTTCTTCTGCGCTTCCATATCTCGTCGGAAGGTGTCCCTCAAATTGCGCCATTTTTTTGCCAACTCTGTCACTGATATAGTAATGTAATGATCTAGGTTAACTTCTCTTATAAATTTTAAAAGACAATTTAATTCGCTACCTAGGAAAATTTGATTCTATTTTGGTTATAGGCGCTATAGAAAGATATGTCATGAATGAAAGACGACAAACTAATCGATAAATTGTATACAGGATTTGTTTTTAAAAACAAAAAATGGCGTAGGTCACTACGTTTTAACACACCTTTCATGTCTTTTTGTGTATTACTCATCTGTGGCCAATCGGGGAATAAACTTTTTGCAACCTCACACCACACTTTCTGCCTAAAGTTGTGATTGGATCTCTCCAGATTATCCCTATCGTACAAAACAGGCCATTTTTGAACTTCCTTAATAATATTCAATGGATGTATTTCTTCCAAAATTTTCTTTCGTTGCCTAGACATTTGCTTAAAATTGGTCACTAAGAGGCGAATTACATCCAATCACAATAATAGAGGTTTAAAAGTCGCGCGTCGGCTCCGATCCGAAAACAGCCGAATCGTTCCGAAGACATGCGAACTCGCCCTTATTTACATTCACATCACATTTATAAACGCCAAACTATATCAAACAGTTATTATACACCACTTACGCACTTTACAATCGATAAGTAATTTATTAACTGTATACTACAATTAAAACACTAGTCAATAATTAAATAGCTGCAACGTATTTGCAAACGGAGTAGATAGACCGCTGACTTATCCGAGGCGACGCGCGACGTTGCGGTGCGATACGACGCGGATGCGAAGCGGGGAAGGACGGAGCGGGGCCGGGGAATGTAGAGAGTCCCATCATGAACTGCAAAACATTTCGCGCTGTTATCGCAATTAGACCAGTGCTTATATACATATATGATCTAACCGCTAACGTATAGATTAAAGATTCAATTTTAATGGTGCTATATAATTTCACGTAATTATATTAAATTTATTTAGGTTTTGATTTTTACAATAGGAATTTCTAAAATTAAAAACCATTAATATCGTGCAACGATACGATCGACGAAAAATAATCTTATGATAATAAAACATTTATTACATAAATTACAAATTATAACTGCCATTACCCTATAGCTCTGTACAAAGAATAAAAATAGAGAAAGGAGAGAAAAAATATTTTTGTAAATCTAATCAGTCCGAATGAACGTTTTATTTTCGAATGGGCCTGGACGGAACTTATCGCGGTTTTTACGTTTTTTTGGTTGGTTGAAAAAACGCTGCGAATTCAGAACTTATTGTGACTTATCTACAGTGGTAGAGTAGTACCTATAGCTGTGATAAGTTATAGGCTTTGATAGTAAGACAAGCCTGAACGATCTGCTTCAAGGAAACATCACTACCTACCTAACATCACTTATACCAGTTTAAGTCGTGAGCCACGGAGGTTTTATAAATTTAATGGTTTGGCAATCAGGTTTATTTCGTTCACGTTTTTGCTGAGAATGCAAAGCTCTTAACTAGCAAGGTCCACTCGAGGCCGACATGACTCTTACTAGAAGTACAGGTCAATATTTAAATAATGGAGTAATACCCTACCAACTCATCAAAACAGGTCACATTTTCTACGAAAAACCTTTACTTCTGGTACGATTCATCGATCTGAGGAAACTAATTAAGGAGTTACGTGCTTATTGTTATAATTGTCGTTAATGACTAGGATTAAAACTGAATGCGTCTTAAAGGTGAATGATAATAGGCATTGTTCGTGTCGTCAAAAACTTATGCTTATTTAGAGTACTTGAACTAGCTTTATCTTGATGCTAATTACTATGTTGAAACTCATCTGTATCTAATGTCCTTTACACATTAGTTTAGATTCTGGAAACTTAATTGCAGCGATGTAATTTAAGTTCTACTCAATATTTTCTGTCACAAAGTATCAATCTTGACTACAGAAGTAATGTTGTAACTTGTAAGTTCTTTTAGTTAGTAGTGTTTGCGAGTCGGTTGTGAGTGCACGTGTTTTCCGCGCGTCAGTTAGAGCCCGCAAGGCTGAACTGCATGGAGTGGGAATTTAGCACTGCCGCGTCTCCTGGCCTGTCGATAGATTGAAATCTTCGCTGACTATAATCCTTCTGGGATACCCGCACTATTAGTCGCGGCCGGCGTTAGAGTAAGTATCGATCAAAAATACAAGTCCGAGTTGCCGGTATCGTGCTTTTGTTACCTTCGAATTAGTGGCTCGTGAGCTAATTGCCTATATTTGTAATACTAACTGTCAATTTATTTATAATCGTCCCTTTCCAAAAATGAACACACTACCTATATAGGGACAAAAAGTCGTCGTGCATTACTTAAAGATAAATAAAAAACGACGCGATTGTAGAAATTGGATACTAAGTACTTTAACGCCAAGTTACGCGAAACGTCGGATCGTAATTAAAATAATTTTTAAATAAATAATATATGTCGCGTTTTAAACCGTTAAAGTGTTTTATTTAAATGTGTCATACTCGCATAAACTACAGACAGTACACAGGTATTCAGGACAAAAAATATACATTCCAATTCTTAGTAAGTTTTAAAAGCTTAAACTTTTTTGACGATAAAGACCTCAAGGGAGATAGTAGGTAGTAAGTACTACCCTATCGTTTTAATAATGTGGTCATATTTTAAAGTCAATTTAATTTGTGAAATATTATTGGACTAAGTAGATATAGGCATTAATAGAAAATAATAATCTTTCTTTTGGTTAAAAAAGTTAAATTGACGTCACGCGGTCGGTTATTTGAGACGAATCGATTAGGCATTTGTTTCTGATAACAGTAATAAATGAAAATTTTACGTGACCAAGGTTGATTAGTTATTATTGTCTGAACAATGTTTTTTATCTACTGCAACGATTTTCCTCCATTACAAGCGGTCTTCTGCTTAGCGCTGATCGCTGTCTTTTAGTATACAATATATAATATAGTATGAATTAACTAGCTGACTAAGTAGTGAAGTATTTCCACTTAATTTGATTACTATAAAAACAGTTCTTAGTTTAATCTGTATCCGACATTATTTTATATTATTTAAAGAAGAAAATTTTATTTCTTATATTTTTTCGCTATCTTGAACCGATTTTTCGCACGCAACGAAATCCCTCAAAGGTTAATAAGTTTACCGTTTTTTCTACATTTTCTATTTGTCGCTGTATGGTACAGGCTGTAGCTTGATGTTTTACACCCTAAAACCTTCCTCGAAAAACGTTCAATCAACACAAAAACAGTGTTTTAATACGTACCAGTACTTTCTGATTTTCGCACATTCAAACAAAACAAATTTAAACATTTACAACATTGGAGGTTGTGATATGATAACTTACGAATCTAAACACTTTGCGATACAAATATATGTATTTCAGGCCATAAAGATCATATCAAGATGTAAATAGTAAATGATGTAGGTAGATATGTATATATCTTCCGTACCCGCGTTCAGCGACCCACTGCATAGATATGACTCATTATAGTAACATTTTAGTTATTAGTAACTTAGCTTGTTTCTATATTTGCGCAATTCTCTGCGGGTGTGCTCGACATTCTTAGTTCGTTTCTTTCTTTCAAACATTCTACATATAAAATGACTACTTTAACAATTCTATTACATTCTTTAAGAATACATAACAAACAATTACACTCTAAGCTTCCCCCGCGACCACCGCTGTTGCACAGCATCCGAAGTTAAAATAAATAAATAATAAGATAACTTATGTATGTCGCGTTTTAAACCGCTAAAAGTGTTTTATTTAATTTTGTACTACTCGCGTGAACTACAGATAGTGCATACCTAATTCATTCTTTGCAATTGTTTTCAAGCCAAAATAGGTCGACACTACACCTTGTTTCCATAAAGTCACAATTTTCATAATTAATTCGATAGTTGTAATTGTTGTGACCAATTGAAGGCACAGTGCAGTTCCAACTGATTTATTACTTCTTGTAGCTACTTTCAGTAGAGTAGTATAAACTATATTAAAAGGGGGGGCTTGACTACACACTAATACAACAGTTAGGCCGAAACAGGCCAGAAATGCAACTGTATATCTTCAAATAGACCCTGGAGAGATGCAACGGATATTTGTAGCGAGCTAAGACGGAAAGCAGTATAAACGTTTTACACATATAAGTTATACGTATAAGTTATATGCGTTTGAGAATCGGCGTGATTCATGTCTTATTCACTGTCTCGGCCGAGGCGAGGCAAACGGCTTTAACTCATTTAGATAACATCCTTGCATCGTAAACGAGTTTCATTGTACTAAAATCATTACACTTCAGAGGTTTGGTCTTTACTCGGCCGGCAACAAGGACTGCAGTCTATCTATTTATTTACGATCCATGCACTTAAATACACTGAACTGATTCCAATGAACGACAATACATTTTTGCAATACCGGTAGTTTGTGAGTGTTAAATAAAACACTTTAACGGTTTAAAACGCGGTATATATTAGTTAAACTTATTTGAAAGTTATTTTAACTACGGCCGGTGTTCCTTAATTCTGTTCGAGAAGCTACGGCTTCGTTTGGCCGATGTGGGAACTACAGACACAATATACCTATCACTATTAGTTTATTATATTTACGTAATTGTGTACTCTATTTGATTTAATTATATTTGTAGGGCATATGTCAACTATTAATTTTACTAGTACTATTTTCTATGCCTTTGTTGTTGTTTGAAGGATACCACCCTTTTTTGCCAGTACCAATACGACGCGATGGTAACGTCCTCTTAAACTTCCAAGTTTAACTGGGTAGCCCACCATCCATTTTTGGTGATGCGCGAAAGTTAAGGTATTCAGCATTGGGTTAAGATGTCAGTTATTTCTCCATTCAGTATCGTGTATAACTTAAATATTTAAAAGGATTATTAAAAAAGTATAAACACTCGAAAGTCGAACCCACGTTTCATAGCGTTCCGTTGTGCTGCTTAATTTTCTTATTTACCTACTTTTGACGCAATATAAACATTGTCGTTTACTTGTATGTGATATACAAAAACCGTATTTAATCTTATCGACATTTTTTCGACTCAAACTCTAAGCCGGTCATAATTACCTAGCACCTAGGTAATAAAGTTTATCGCTGTTGATTTGAAGGTTCTCACAATTTGAAGGTCGAGGTCATGTGTCGTCTCAAATAAGAAGGGCTGAACGACGCTGCGCTGAAACGCCTTTAAGCCATAATTAAACCCGAAATCTCCGTTTTAGTTCAAAAGTTTTCATTAAGTCGCCGAATTATGAAATTAACCTTGCTGATAAACTTTCCAAAGGGTTTTTATTAATGAAAGATCAAGATTTTCAATAACTAATGTATTGTTTGTTTAACAAAAAAAAAATAAAATGGAAATCGTCGTTAAAAACAAAATGTATAAATTTCATTGGTAGTTAACGATATTGTATTCTTCGTTGTTAAAAGTATATTTTTCATCACTCTTTGCCCAATTGGTATTGAAAAATATATCAATTCCAGTAATTGAATTTCAACTATTGTCGAAAAATGCTGTCTTGAATAAAAAAGAGTGTAGGCGGTAGGGTGGCTTGAATAGAGGTTATTACAAGCCGTCAAAGAACAATTTGTTGTTTCAACGTTGCCATGACAACTGCGGGTGCCTGCAGCTAATAACTATTTATAAGCTATTGTGTATCTATGAGCGAGTCGGGGGTATGGGGCGAGTATGTATGTCAAGAGAGGTGCAATTATACCGATTTTGACCCAGTTGTAGGCTGAAGAGTGGACCTAGTATGGTATAAACCGAGGCAGGTCAACGACCGCGCGTACTTTAGCTTCGACGCACTAAAACATCGGTGTTGCGCATGCATTCATATTATATTAATTAAAGTACTCATATTTATATTTTTAACTGAATCCATTCAGCAGTAAAACTTTGTAATTACACTAAAAATATTAACAGGAATTAATTTGTAAGCGGTGACGTATTTGTGTATTAATTTAGGGATGAAATAAGCCATTCATCGTTTTATATGTATAATGAAATCGGGGTACCGAATAACTAACCTATAATAAAATACTAAATCTATTTTTAAAATATCTTTAGTTACATTAACACAGGGTACATTTTTATGGGCATTATTTTACTCTGCGTGTCCATTGACCAGTATACATATTGAACTTTTTTCTGTCTCTATCTCATTTCCTATCTATTGACTGGACATCAAAGATTGATTGGCTTACTCTTTTTGAGAGCCTTACGTTACGTTTTAAACAGTTTTTAAAGTATCTTATTTAAATGTGTGGTACTACTCGCGTAAAATAAACAAACAAGTAAACACAGTATTTAATTATGATGTCTTATGTGGTTGTAGGAAAAGTCCATCGCAGTAACAAAACGGTGGGGGCTCGCGGTGTTTCTCCAGCTCTGCGGGAGGCATTAAGGTTGGTGAGGGACGCGTGGCCTGATCCCTCGCAAAGCTGTTCTTGGTAAGCTTTAATCTGCTATCATTTGAATTAAATACATAATGTATGAAATAATAAAAGGGCCTTCATATAGTTCCATTTTCGCAATGGCTATACAAAAGTCATATGTTATCAGCAATTTTAAAATCTAATGGAAACTTTGAATGTGATTTGTCATCGGTTTTCGAACTAAAATCAAAACGCTTATGAAATAAAAATAAACAACGTAAATGATTAAAAAAAAACCTGAATTCTGTGAAGCCACTTTCATTTGCCATTTGTCATTAAAATAACACTGCCACGTGAAGTGTAAAATTAAAATAAAATAATGGGAACTGCTAATTATTTTAACCTAAATATCTCCAATTCTCAGTAACTACTTACTTCCAACGAACTCATGCGCATAACCGGGCCGGCCCATCTTTGTTTTGAACACAGCTCATAGATTAAGATGCAATTACAATTCATGTTAGGATTATTTAGTTCAAATTGAGAGATATACATTAACGGCTATGTATCGTCAGTAATCAAAACTCCGCAGTACAGTACTGTAGATACTGTAATTAGTGCTATTGTAACGAATGAAAAAAAATAGCAGTTAGTAGCGGAGAACAATATGAAAAACTTAATATTGAGATAGTAATGACTAGGTTTTCTTCTAATTATTATCGAATGAAAAATCCAGCCACACTTCGCTACAGCCAAATAGCAAAGCAACTAAGCAGTAAGGCGTCGACTCGCTTGGGCTACAGACGTGACTACACAAAAAAATAAAAATGACATAGTTAATCCTAAATGGTATTTTAAAATAATCACTTAACTAGTTATAACGTTAATGTAACAAGTGATTAGTGATCTGTGTAATCTTACTTAATCTTCTACGCTGCAGCTTTAAAAAAATCGTGAGTGAATTTTTCCTATATTATCCAGATAAATATATTTTGCAAGAATTTCACAAGAGTTTAATGTTGCATAATTACCTCTGTACACAACATATTTCAGTTTCAAACAAACCTGGCTTTATTAGTTAGTTTATATACCTAGTTTAATCCTTCTATGTACAAATCCTTGCGATACTGTATTGGTGTTAGTTCTACAGAAACCGTAACATGCAGTACTAAATGCATAAGGAAAATATAACCGCCTCTGCAACTGCTGCAAACGTGTTGCCTTAAGCACGAGACTGACAGGTCTTGAGTTAGAATCCCGGGGCAACAATTCCAACTGTATCGGTCGAGAATACTTGCCTGTAAATAAAGGAAGATTTCACTAACCACGAAACGTATATGTAGAGGCGTTTAATCCCGCACAAGTTACGCGTATTTCGTAAATTACTCAAGTGTAAAATTGCTCCTAACGTTATCATTGTCCCTCATTACTAAGAACAAGAATGATTCACATTTTGAGATTTCGGTTAGTGGAGCGTCCCGATGGTGTGTGGGCAGTAATGTGACCCGCTCGAAGTGGACCACAAACCTCAGGCCGCGGTTTCTTGTACACCTGACGTTACAGTAGTTCAAATGATATACAGACCGGCCGGTGTTATTATTTTCTTAATGATAGAGATGGACAGACAAGCTGAGGTTCACTTGATGATAGGTGATATACCCCAGTCTATAGTATCGACTGTCGACCTATGTTGACTTTGGATATTCGGAAATCCACAGACCGATACCGTAACGCGATTAAGCTTCACGGCTTTTACATCTGTGGTAGCTTGTAAGTTGTAACCCGGACGGGATTTATATATTGAAGAAGAAGAGGAAGAAGTCCAACATGTTCCTAAAACATTATAAATTAAAAATAGAAACATGTTAGATCCGGTGGGGATCGAAGTCACGACCAGTTGATTATTAGCCATACTTGCTGCCATTAGACCAACGAACCCGTCAAATACGAGTAGATGGTGCGGGTCGAGGCTACCGTCTCGTCGTTCATCGCTTTTCAAACAAACATTAATTTTCCGCCTCAATTAGCAAACCGGTCGAGTATCGAGATGCAAGCGCGCATTCCTCATTACATTTCTATAATCATGGTATCTAGCAGAGCGATTCTTAGAATCGATTAAAACATTAACGCCGAAATGGGTCGACAGCCCATCTTGGTACGATGTTATATGAGCCTCATGCTTGTCCGTCTTCCTCTATCACAAAGAAGGCATAAGTTCCACCTCTGCTACATCGCTTTGATTTAACTGTCTACGTGTTGCCTGTGGGGTGTATATTGCTTACATATCTACACTATACATATGATCTTTTCCCAGGATTCGAACTCGTAGGCTTATTTCCATATCGATCGCATTGCAATGAAACGCGACAGCAAGAGGCAAACGTACACGTAGATGACGTGTATGTTAATTCAAACCATAAGATAGCGTGGCATTCTGTGTACGAGTAAAAAAACCAGTATGTATTAAGTTCAAGTGGTATGAAGGCGGCTTAACACAAGGCAGATTCACAAAGAACGGCGATACTTCTAATCTGACACTCAAAAAGACACTTGACTAGAAATGCAGATTCGCACAAAACACGCTTGACAGTCGATACCTCTGTAATCCATCGATTCCGGTTCATCTCCAACTTTATTATGAGACTGCAATGCAGTAGAGTCAAATTTAGTGGTTCTCCATTCATTGTGAAGCTGACTTGTTGGAAATATCGCAATAATGTGAATATTCGTCCTCAAAAATAATATCATCGTGTTAATCGCTAGACCCAGAACGTATTCGAATCTCGGGAAAACAATAAATTGTTTCGGACGATTGCCTTAAACCTGTTTAACTAACTAGTAAAACGGACATAGAATTGCGTCTAGTCCATACTCTACAGGGATGTCACGTTAATTATAATCCCTGGTACAATTTGCTTGCACCAAATTCACATTCATTTCTAGCTAAATGAAATATTCACATATTTAAATAAAACACTTTTAACAGTTTAAACCCGAAATATAATAGTTAACTTATATTTAAATGATTAAATACGGACCGACGCAGACTTTTCGGGTGCTATCAATAAGTTGACGAATTTATTTCGCGTCTACGGACATACTTATATTTGTACTTATTTACATATATAACAAACTATCGATATTGAGCGAAATAACAATCTTACTAAACCCGCCGATACATCCGAGACTCGTAATCTGACCATTTGCGTACTAATTGTTAGGAAGTGGTCTCGGCTCTTCCTCGGTTTTTATGAGGTGGTCTCGTTGCACTTCACTGAAGGCTGCAAATCTCGGTGGCAATTAGGTTAGCGTATTGCATTCTTGTTTTAAAAGCGATGGCAACGTCTTTGCATATACATGGAGCATTTAGCGTAGCCGAGGAGCCAAGACGCGGACTCCAGATACGATTATTATTCAGATAATACAATACTGGTTTGTTGTCGCAATAATATAATAGGCAGGTTAATAGTCTTCTTCTGAGATTGGGGTTGTTTTACATTGTTTTACATATTATGTACCAAAACAAAGGAAGAAGTAAGTTTTATTTATTTCAATAAAACACTTTAACAGTGTAAACGTTTTAAATTTTAATTAGTTAAACTTCTAACTATGGCCCGACGTTCCGGATCCTTGCAGTAGCCGTGGTCACGGGGTGACAACGTCGGGCCGTCCTACTAAGAATAATTTCCAAATAATTTTGACTAATATCACGTTTCAACCGTAAAAGTGGTATGTGTTTAAATGCGTACACGTAAACTACAGACAATATTTAAGTAAGTTTTATTCATTGTTTAAAAATAACTGGCCCATAACACTTATTGGACTAAATTAAATGTCGTTGGTTCAGTGTAAGTATTGATAATACCTTATACATAATGATTAAATTTCAAAAGTATTAAAATCCCTTACATTAGTCCCGAAGAATGCAAACCAAAAATGTAACTGACATAGGAGGCGTTCTATTCTCGTCCAAGACACTTGCGTCGCGGATCTCGTAGACACAAATAGCGCACCCTAAGGGATTCTTCGCGAATGACTTGAGCCTAGTCAAAACTCTTCGTCGACTTTAAGTAAATAATAAAATCCGAGTACCAAAATCGACTTTTTTCTTAATATACAGGAATGCGTGAAGTTCACTTGGCGGTGGGTAAAATACCGCGGCCATATAACATCTAAACTAGATCTAAGGCTTATTTTGGTTTTGGATATTCGGAAAGACTGAAACCCAAACGCGATTTACCTTTACGGCTTTATCACCTCTGGACGGTGGTACGTGACCCGGTAGGAATTTCGATATTTCTACCACCTATTTAATACCCAGATTTCCAGACGAAGTCCAATATGTTTCAGAAAAATTACATTGCCACATCTTCGAGCCTGTCAAAATGTTATAAATACTATATTTAGTTCTATCCGCAATATTAATACAGATAGACGCATTATGACGTATTAATTTGGTGATCCATTACGCTAAGTGGTCGTCACCGGCTCCGCCACTCATACTATAATGGACTGATAAGCGTGAACCTTTATTTCGAAAAAGGGAGGAGCGATCATTGACACATAAACCAATAACTATTAAAAGCAATTAGTGTAATTTGGTTCATGTCAGTTTCAGACCTGGCGGGACTACCAGCGGAGATACAGGAACTGGGACGACTGGTGACGAAATGGAAAGGGGCGTGTGGCCCGGCGGTGTGGGAGCATCACCCGGTCTGCTGCGGCGCCGCTATTCAATGCCTGAGACGATAATGAGAAAGTATGTAGAGCAAAAACTACTTGCAAAAAATATTAATACATTGCTTTGGGTTTGGAAGAACATATTCTAAAAAAGTGTAGCACTTTAAACGCTTGAAGGTTTTTAAAATAAAAACTTGGCGATAAAGTGGCGGCGAGTTTCTTGCCAGTTTGTCTCGTTTGTTCTTGATTTGAGATGAACTGTATTAAAATTCATAATTGTACCTACATAAATAAATTATTGGTCTTTTTATATTAGTAAACTAACTAAACTTACTTTAGGCTTGAAGGAGATGTGAGTTTTAGTTACTAGACTTCTCTGCAGGAAATTAAGTTATTAATAATTTTTAAACCCGTCATAAACCTCTTTGCAGTACTTATACGATATTGTTTCGGCTTGTAAAATAATAACACTAATTACATTACTTAGCTTACTTACTTAGCATAAATCAATTATTGACTAGGAGGTGGTTGTCAGATTAGCTTCGGGTTCGGCAAGAAATAAACTTTCGACTGATATTAATAATTTTTGAATTCTCTGCAATTGTAATTATTTTTTAAATAATTTTTCATTAATCAAATTTCAGATATCGCTTGGCGCAACAACGATCAGAATTGGAAGACAGCGGCGAGGCGAGTAGCAGTAGTGCGGGCATTCCACGATCAGCGTGCGGCGCATGCTGCTCGTCGCGAAGCGCACGACGAGATCCAATGCGCAAATCGGCCTTGATGCGCATGTGGGGCCGGGCATGCGCTTGTACCTGCGTCATGCCCCCGCGTTGTTCCTGTGCCACGACACGCTCTCTCGGTGCCTCCCGTTGTGAGCTACGTCCTCGTTCTCCTCGTTGCCTAACACCCGTCAACCCCATACGCCTTCCATCTACCCCTCTGAACAACCGACAATCGACATACAATTCGCCACCTCGATACGATCTCAGTTCTTCTTCAGATCGACCTGAGCACACTACAGTTTCTTCAGACACACAAAATTTCACCTCGCAAAGCGATAAATCTTACGCAGGTGGAACAAAAGTAGAATTAATTACAAACCATAATGTTTCGGATGTTTCTTCGTTGACAGACTCTTCAGAAACTTACTCAACGTCCTTGTTGACTGCTAAAGAGAAAGAAAGTCACGCCAAATATCACTCATTACTGTCGAGCGGCAGCCCTCTCGAGGGAGGATTGAGTGCGAGATCAGGAAGTGTTCAGAATAATGAAAGTGATGTTTTGCCTTACGACCAGCCACTCTCCATTGAAACGCAGAAATATGACATTCTCGAAATCGTTGTCTCAGAAACCATGAACGTTAGATCAATGCCACCTATCACTAGCGAAACTACTGAAAATATACCCAGCCCCATCAGACACTTGTCTAAGAATAGGAAAACCCAAAATATTAATATAGATGAATATGTGTCCAATATTCTGGTGGAAAGCTTAAACTCTTTAACGGGCCAGTTAGAATCTATGAACGCATCTATGGGTAATGACAAAAAACTAAATATTGTCGAAAAAGAAATAAAAGTTAAACTACAGAACACCGGTGTTAATACAATTGTGCATCTCAGTCCAACATCAAATAATCAGATTATATTTGGAAATGAAGAGCTCTGTCATAGTGAAGAAAGACTTAAAAATGAAAATCTATGTCTCAATTCAAGTTGTCTTATGAGGGACAGTGCATTTAGCTTTGAATCCAATAATAATAATTTGACTTCACCAGAAAGTATTAAAGATAACAACTGTAACCAACAATTCCAAAAATCTCTACATGCACATCCAGAAAACTTATCAAGTGTTACAAATAATGACAGTTTCAACAAATCTATTTTACAACAAATACAGAAACTATTTAAAGATGAGTTTCAAAGGAATGAACACAATTTAAGTAAGCCTTCTGTTAGTGACATTCCTGAAATTTCACACGTAGAAATATCAAACGTAGACGTCTATTTAAACGATAACGATGCGTATCCGGAAGCCGAAACTATAGAAATACAGACACAAAACGATAAGGAAGACGCAGAAATGTTAGGCGGCGTCGGTGCTGCCAATTACTACAAAGAAATAAAAGAACCCACATTAGTGCCGAGATTTTCAGCTTTGCCACATAGCGACTCCATGGAGGTAAACACATCGTCATCGGAGGACGCCGATATGTTGGGTTCAGAATGCGCCAGCTTAGTAGATAGCTTAGACGACCCTAACTCACCGAGATCACTACTCTTACGTCGGGCCCACAATAAAAGAAGTGAACTAGTACGATCCTCTATAGATGTACTCGATCTCCTTCCAGAAAATGTAAGTCAAAATGAAAATCACTCTCCCAAAGAAAAAGGTGAAGCATTTTTTATAAGAATAAAAGATGACGACTGCGACTGTGAAAAAGAAAACATTATTGTAGCCGATCATATGCCAGAGACGATTAAACAAAGATTGTATAGAAGGCATAGAAAACGAGAACAACGGATGGAGTGTGTCAGGCGTAGTAAAGTCAAGCAAATGAAAATAGACGTCATGAAACAAAGACTAAATGAGAATTATAGAGCTAAAAAAGAAATGGAAAAGGAATGTACTGCTATTGTAAACGCACTGATAGATGACGTTATAGGTAAAATCGCTCAAGATGAGTATAAGTGTATGAAAATCAAACAGCGAACTAACAAATCAGATGATGTTTTAAAAAGAAAAAAGGACATTGGTGAATCTTCAAAGGTAAATAAAACCAAAGTAGTACATTCGCACTCTTGTTCTGAATACAGAAACCTTAAGCAACCCCAATCATCAGAGAAGTCGAATCGTGATAAATCGTCTAGACATTTGCAGTTGCCCCCCACACCCGTAGAGCAGAGACCAAAAAGGATTTATCAAAAGTCGGAAATACACGACGGCAATAAATGTATAGAGATCCTGGAAATATTAGAATACGTTAACAGTTCACAAAGCTCATCGGAAACGACCAATTCCGACGAGAATCATAACAACTTTCTGTTGAGAAATAAAAAGTCTAGAATTCCTGTTCCCGTTTATGAGAGATTCGAAAGATTACCACGAAACACTTCGCAGAAGAAATACAAAAATGGAAGATTGCCGTCTACATTGGCGCGGGAAAAAAACGATAAAACCAAACATTTGCTAGCAAGTATGTTATTAGATGCGTTCGCGGAAGACACAACCGGAGATCCTGCAAGACGCGCACCTGTGGCTTTAGACCCACCCGTCAGGTCCAACTCATTAAGGTTTCAAAATCATTTTGATATTATTCCCGAAGAGAAAAGCAGTCTTAGTATGGAGTCTACGGGCGATGATACGGCAGTTCGTCGGGCATCTGCGCCCCGTCTCGAAATGAATTTGCCTATAGAATCCGACTACAAAGACCGGCGCCAATCTCCTAAAACATCCGCGAGACATTTGAAGAGCGCAGGAACCTCACCGATGTCCGACTGGCAGCAAGCTCAAAAGGATGTGGGTACAGCCACTTCGCCGATGCCTAGAACCCGAGATGTGGGGGATCCTGCAGGTACTCTACACGCACGCACCGTTTGCACCATCGCTGTAGAGTAAGTGCACAGCCTGTAAAGGCTACGCTTAAAAGCCTTCATCGGCGTGCGAAGCTATGTCTGCAATATAACACGCATTTTTTTATAGATTTTCAGTTATTCAATATTACTATGTTAAAATAATTATCCACACTAAAGTAATGATTAAATCGTATATTTTATATTTACAATCGAGAGGCACAAGCACTATTTGTTATTGTAGTTAGATCCAAAGTAATATTTATGTGTATCCGTCGTTATGAATAAAATATCTAAAAAAAATACTCGTTTTATTTATTCAAAGGTAACGAAATTCGAAAATCAGTGACAACGCAGTGCGACGAACCGAGGAGGAACGTTCAAAGAGAACTGTTAAGGAGTAGGGAACGGAATATTAAGAGTCATAGTTGCCTTAAAAACACTGCTGTTAAAGAAATTGCGAGGGAGAGAAGACGAAAGTGTGAAAGGGAGAAGGACAGATCGGGGCGGATGCGCGGCGGTTGTGGATGTGACCAGTGCGAAGAGAGCGGTAGCTCCAGTGAGTCGAGCGGCACTCCTTTATGTTCGGGAGCTTGGCGGGCCGCGAGACGTCGCCGAGCTCGTCAGGGTGAGAAAAGCCTTTTGACCTGAGGGAATCGCTATACGCGTCTGTCTGCTGCAGCCAACTATATGTTGCAGGCGATTGGGCGGTCACGGTTGCAGGCTCTTGCGCCGCTGCGCTGCCCAATGATGTGGAGATGCGACTGCGCTTCCCTGATGCAAGCACACAACGATATGCACAGCACACTCAAGGGTCACCACCTCGGCCGCATGTACACTGCGATAAGAATAACTCGTGTCCGGTAACATATCTTGATTACTACGAAGTTAATGAATAGTAGGTATGATGAGTAACCGGAAAATTTAAAAATTTGTAGCTATAAAATGTCGTATAAAGTACATATTCTTACCAACCGCCCAATTAAGTATTACGTGCTATCTATTGTATGCAGGTGGAACACATAAGAACGCGACGACACAGTGAAGAACCACCGCGACTGACACTCACCGTCAGAAAGGAGGCTTCAGGTTTCAATCACACGTGTCTTGAATAAGCCAACACCAAAGACAATATATGACACAATTGCTGACCTGCTCAAATACAATTTCTTAGCACACCAATGCACAAACAACACAATAACTTAACACTTTAAAAATAAAATCCAAATGTAACCAACAGTGACTAAATTTTTGTAATAAAGATCCGTATCTTGGCCCTAAAATTGATTTTCAAAAGCTCTCACTTTACAAAATAGATAAAAACCAAGTTCCAAAGAGGTTGGCTGTACGGTGAGGTTTGATTTTAGATTCTTCAGTTCTTGCATCAAAGAGTATGAAGAAGTCTCATGATCTCCTTCCCGAATTGCACGAGACATTTCGCGCCTCGCGTACTAACACCAAGAGTTCGCTCAAGGTAACAAGTTTTAGTTATATTTCTTAAAATCGGACGTATTAAGAATTCTAATAAAATACATTTAGGACGATTATATCAAATAAACAAACGAACTAGAACAATTGCTTTGATGTCAAAAAGCGTATCTATAGCATCCACCACTGTAAGTGTATTTCTATCTATCAATATAAAGCTGAAGAGATTGTTTGTTTGAACGCGCTAATCTCAGGAACTACTGATTCGAATTGACAAAATATGTATGTGTTGGTTAGAGCATTTATCGAGGAAGGCAAAAACGGTTCAAGATACCCGAAAATGCGTGAAAGAACTGTCTCTCTTTTAAGATTAACTTGCAAGATCGACGGCACGCCACCGACGTCGTGGGAACAGCTTAAATTTATCTATATAGAGGAGGTTGGCCAAAACAAATAAATTTGGCTGCCCTAAACAATTTTTCTACGCGGACGAAGTCGCTGACACAGCCAGTATGGGATAAAAATGGTTTAAGTTAAGTAAAGCTGAAACACAGTTTTGGTCGAATCAATCGTTGAACGGCATGAGCGTTTTGCTTATTATTTACATCGAGAAGGCGGTTGTTTCAGACACGACGGGGATGCTCCCCACACTGTTGGCTTCCAGACGGAGATTTCACAAGCATCCGGTTAGTATTTATAATAGTAGACGTCTGCAGTCTGCGAAGGCTGTAGAAGTAGCGTATGTTCTACGCGGTAAGTTTGACGTTCGTAGACAATTGAGTATTGTCTATACTTTAGGTACTGTAATAATGCACGTTTAAATAAAACACTTAACTGTTTTCCACGTGACCCAGACAGCTGGATCCAAAACGTCGGGCCTTAGTAAAAAAAAAAAGCTTAGCTAATATATTACGCGTTTTAAACCGTTAAAAGTGTTTTATTTTAATATTTCTTCTATGATAAAAATTTGATTATTGTAATTTGTGAAGTTTCTTTAAATCATTCGATGTCAACCTAATGAGAAATATTTTTCGCAGGGCTCGTGAAGGTTTATCAGTGTCGGGTAATGCTATTGTGCCGGAGCAAAAACCCCGGGTCCCGACTATGAGCGAGCGTGACTTGACACGCCTGTATACCCCTCGCAGACGGTTTTCATATCTGCGATCTTAATTATAAGATTGTATACCGGTTTTATTTTTTTTAAGTATATTGTTTTTTGTTTGATACAATATATTTGCAATGCAATTGAATATAGCACAAAATATTACCGAATAAAATTTTAAGGCAAAGAATGACGTCTTTTTAATACCCATACTCTTTGTACGAGTGAAGTGACATAAGTAGGTCACGCAAAACAATAACAAAATAACTATCCTGACAGGTGATTTATTAAATACTGTCTATAGTTTACGCGAGTAGTACACATTTAAATAAAACACTTTTAACACGTGGTCACGGGAAGTCTTCCCGTGACCACGGCTGCTGCAAAGCATCCGAAACGTCGGGCCGAAGTTAAAAATCATTTTCAAATAAGTTTTACTAATATATCGCGTTTTAAACCGCTAAAGTGTTTTATTCAAAGGTGATTTATTAATCGGACAGGCGACGTTCACATGATATTTAACGGTAGAGCGTAGGTACAGATTAAAATAAAAATTGGTAGAGAGGTCAATATATTTAAAACACTTTAGGGAATTGACATCATAGAAGAAAACAGTTTTAACTACTCAACAGAGTCACATAAATCGTAGTCTTTCAAATTGTTGGGAGCTACGGGCTCTTGTGAGAGAATGTGTCACATTCATTTTGTCTACAAACAGAAGTTTGTAGACAAAATCCTGACACATTCTCTATGATACAAAAATAAAAGAAGATAAAGAAAAATGTTGTAAAGGAGACCTTAACAACATTTTTTTATGTATGTCTTCTCCTTTAGGCTAGTGATGTAGATACCTACTTATTGACATGTCATGCGGGTAGTAGGTACTAATCCCTCTAAATGTTGATTCAAAACCTTTAAACATTTGGATGTTCACTTGAATTTAAAGATAATGTTAAATAATACACTTATAATTAAATGCAAATTAAATTTGTCAAGTGCTGTAAGTTTATTTATGTTGATATATTTTAAATTTTTACAAAGTATTACCTCGATAAGGCAGGCTCTCTGAATATTGAGATTTCGGATTACTATAAATAAAAGCTAAAATTAATCTTAAAATTTTTAATTAACGCATATGTTCGTTAAATTTTACATAGTTAACGAGAGCAATTAAATTAAAATCAAATTGTTTTAAAATATTTTTTTCTTCTGGTAGTCTATTTCTTTTTCAAACAAGACATCCACTAGTCGAAAAATCATTACGATTATCCACTAGTGCTCAAACTTCTCATACGTCGAACAATTCGTAAGCCCATAAACTAGATCTCTAAATACCTATGTTTGTCGATTTGTCTAAGTTTGACCGTCCACCCTAAGTACCGTTTAAAACAAAATCCCTAAATAATTATACCTCTATGCCCCTGAACACCCTGATTTTTGTAAAATTGTTATAAAGTATTATATTTTTTACAATCCCTACAAGCTGGTAAAATAGAAAACTACTTGGTTAATGTTTTGTGTAGATTATCTGTTGGCAGTTGGCACAGTGGAACTGTGATCTGTCAAATCAGAGTGTCAATGTCATAAACAACTAAATGTCAAAAACAAAAAACCGGCTCTGCAAAAAACCGCATTGCACATAAACACTTATAAATGGGGATATTTGAAAAAAGTTTCATTCGTTGTCGGTTTTCCTCAATTCATAATTATTCATCTGAGAGATCTGCAAAGTGTGTTATCCAAAAAATGGGTTCCCAGTCTAAGTGGATGATTGAAAAGAATCGCATTCTGTCTTTACCCATTGAGGAGAAACGAAAATTATATAAATCTAGTGACTATATTACAGTAAATCAAGTTGACCCCTGGTGCAACTACGTTGTCCGGAACAAAGACGTGGAGGATAAAAAGCATAACTTGGAAGATTTGAACGAGTTCCGTAAGATAAAATTAAATCAGGAACAAAACAAATCATTAGCTGAGAGAGTTTCTCTGTTTAGAGGAGATATTACAAAGCTTGAGGTAACTTTTATATCTATTATGTAATAAAAAGAAAACTTAAATGAGTCATTCCTATTATGACTGGTTCCAATTAAAAAAAGAAGACACACATCCACATACAAGACAAGAAGATCTCGTTTTGTATGTGGTTCAACAGTGGTTTGGGTGTAACAATGATTAAGAGAAAACATGTAATGAAAAGATATCTTCATCGAGACAAAAGTTGCAGGGCAAATGTATTTTTAAATTTTTGTAAATAGAAATTACTTACAATTACAGATAGATGCAATAGTCAACGCAGCTAATTCCCGTTTAAGGGCTGGTGGTGGTGTTGATGGTGCAATCCATAAAGCAGCTGGACCTCTACTTCAAGTATATTTCTTGTTACAATAAACTAAGCATAGATTAATCCTATGGATTTCTTTAATCAAAACTAAAAATATAGTAGATCTGTAGTTTATTATGAGAAAAAATTATGAATGTACACTTCCATTACAGGATGAATGCAATTCAATTGGAGGCTGTCAAACAGGAGATGCCCAAATTACTGGTGGATATGATTTACCTGCTAAGTGTAAGTAAATAATAACTACATTTCTATTTTTAGATATTTAAAGTAATTTTCAACATATTTTAAGAAGAAGAATGAAAAAGAAGTGTAAAATGTAACGAAATACAGCTAAAATGATTATCATTTCTATTTCAGATGTAATTCACACAGTGGGACCGCAAGATGGATCAGCACAAAAGCTTCAGTCCTGCTATGAAAAGAGTCTGTCCTTTCAACAACAATATCGGCTGTCTTCCATTGCTTTCCCATGTATTTCTACTGGTATATATGGCTTCCCTAATCGCTTAGCAGCTCATATAGCCCTACGAACCGCAAGAAAGTTCCTTGAATCAAATCAAGACGTTCAAAGAATAATTTTCTGTACCTTCATGCCGATTGATGTTGAGATCTATGAAACTCTTATGCAAATGTATTTCCCTCTTCATCAATGGAACTATAATGATGGAGCTACAGTTTCAGAGTGATTCACCAATTAACCTAGACTTGTTATAAATTTGCTGTTTGTGAAATACAAATCTTTTTTAAAATTTTCCTTGTTATTTGCATAATTTTTTCCTTGATAGAAATCAGATAGTAAATACCTTAAAGAAAGCCAGTCACCAATGACTAATAGATTAGGTATATGATTCATAATATTTTTAAAACAGCACTTCATTCAGTCAACAAGTATCGGGAATAATACTTTTTTAATTATTGAGATGGCCTTCTGTCTACTTTTATTAAAAAGTCACGTTTCTAATTTTATTACTACGAACGGCTAATGGAAAAAAAGCTCTTATATATTTCACTTATTGTTTAAAAACCTAAAATGAAAGAAGTGTTATTTATTTTTGTGGACAATGTTATAATGTCCACACAACACATACAAAAATGCAAAGAAATCAAGTTGTTTTTTGAGAGTACTGTAAAAAACGTGGACTATCGTTAATTATAGCTTAAAATTAATTAGCCGTTCACCAGTTTGAAAATTTAATGACATTAATACTTTTAGTTAATAAAATAGGAAGAACATGACTATAAAGAAATAGTTGCTTGAGGACATGTTTATAAGTATCGTCATTATGTCTTCACATACATAACCGTATTAAAGTGATTATAACTGTATACAGACATCTTGAGTATAAACCCTGGAAAAATATTTTGTGTAACGGAGGAGTTTTTGATTGTTTGATCCAGGCAGAACCCGGACGCGACACGTCGACGAGTTTCACAAAAGTTTTAATTGAAAAATATTCAAGCGTCATCGACCATTCTCCGTTTGTAGATACTATAGCACAGTAAACAATTTCCTAGAACATATTTCCACGTATGGTGGCGTTGGTAAATAAAATTGTTAGCTGGTAAATAGGAAATAAGCAAATATATACATATAAGACTTTAATATTTTGTTATTTTGATTATAATTATAAATACTATTATTATGTATTTATTATTATTACTATGCATTTCTTACTTTACCTAAATCTGTGCTATATTAATGATAAAGTGAAATTTATTTTATGACATAGATACAGCACTCCAATCTAGCAAAATGCGTAAATATTGCAAAAAGAATTATAAAAATATGTAAAGAAATACATATATCAATGATGAAATAATAAATTAATTAAATTGACCGCCTCCATATATTAAATGGTGTCATGGTTTCGGATTCGAATCCCGATTCGATTCGGGACAAAGAAGTCAAATCAACTTCTAGTTTGTTAAAATTGATCAGTGTTTCACTCACAATTTTTACGGACACAAAAATGTGTTCGTCCCATGCCCAACAGCAAACGGGATTTTAAATACGATCCGTAATAGAATGTTCTTGACCTATCTCCTTAATTCTCTACCTTAAGAATATACCTGCGCGTGGCCTTGCTTATTAAAGAATTCAATAACTTCTAACGTAATTTGCAACTTACTTACTTACTTACTCCGCTGGCGCAGCGACCCAAAGTGAGTCTTGGCCTCCGAAACTAAAGAGCGCCATTTTTGCCGATCCTGTGCGGCTGTTCGCCATTCGGCTACACCGAGCTCGCGCAGGTCCTTCTCCACGGCGTCCTTCCAGCGATATCTTGGCCGGCCGACAGGTCGGCGGCCAGTTGGAATTCCGATATACGCTTTCTTGACACTCCGATCATCTCCCATTCTCTCCAAATGGCCAGCCCAGCGGAGTTTTTGGGATTTAGCTTCCCCCATTATATTGGGTTCGTTTACGAGGTTTTCGATCTCCTCGTTTTTCCTGATTCTCCAGCTTCCATCCTCCCTTTGTGTCGGGCCAAGAATCTTCCGCAAAATCCTCCTTTCGGCCACCAGTAACTTTTCCTCTTCCTTAAGCGTCAACGTCCATGTCTCGCATCCGTACAGTAGAATAGGACGGATGACGGTCTTGTAGATTCGGATTTTGGTTTTCCGGGTAAGTAGTTTGGACGTTAACACCTTATGGAGGGCCGCGCAACAACGGAGGGCGTTTTGGATCCGGATATTTATTTCCTCTTCCCTTGAGTTCGTGTCCGTTATTGTGCAGCCGAGGTACTTGAATTTACTGGTACCCCTGAATGCGATACCGTCCACATGTAGGTCCTCAAGTGCCTTTCTTTTGTCCTTATAGCGTTTCATGTGGAGGTATTCCGTTTTCTCTCGGTTTATTCTCAGACCAATTCCAGCTGCTTCGGAGATCAAGGTTCTCGCCAGACATTGCACCTCGTTCTTTGTTTGGCCTAGAAGAGCCAAATCATCGGCGTATCCAACTACCCTATGCTGTCCATTTAGCCTTACACCCACATCCAGCGCCAAAACATTCTGAATTACGTGTTCTAGTGCCAAGTTGAACAGCATTGAGGATAGCGCGTCTCCTTGTCTTAAGCCGGTTAATTTGCAACTAAAGCTGTATTATTTCTCCACTCCTTTATTGCAAAGTGAAATTAATTGAAAACTTTGTACCAACGGGCCAGTTCTCAGAAAGCGTAGTGTCGTTTAGTATTTCATAAATTTCGCTCGGGTTTCGGCTATGACTGAAATCTGATTTGCTTCAAGTGCTATTTTTCAGTTGAAAATTTTAATCGTTTTAGGTAGCAACTTGCTATTGCGCCAATACTAAATCTTATACAAATAAATTATCGTTGCTTCACATAGGGAATATTAAATTGGCTGTTATATAGCGTAAATAATTCTAGAATTGTACAGTCTAATTTAGTAGCAGTGAAGCCTTTTCAGTGCGGCGGTATTTATATCGAGAATAAGAAGTTTAATATCAAAAAGCTTTCAGCGGCGTTAGCCGAAGCCCGTGCATTAAGAGATTGGTGCTTTAATGTATTCCCTCTACTTATAATATTGGCTTTGCTCTATCTACTGTGGAAATTAAGATGTGCAATAATGTATATGGGAATTTAAATAGTAATTTAGCGCAGCGCAAACAGTAGGAAGAATTATTTACTGATGGTTCAATAATAAAAGTAAAAAATACTTTTCAAACTACTAGTACCAGTACAAATACATAATAATGCCTCAAGCAAATGGCAGAAGACTATGCATATTGTTATATATATTCAACATATACATCTTTTCAATCAAGTCGCTCTCACTTAAAGAATAAGACAATGAGAGCAAACGAGAATCGTTCGCAATCTCGCGTCAAGACGCCAAGCTCCTCGGTATAAAGGATGTCACTATAGATAGCAAAGCTCCTACGAAACGTGGCAAGAAAAGACCCAAATATATCTACGTATGTGTTTTACATAGGTACATATATAGTTGTTATGTATTTCATTATGCATTCCAGGATGGTGTAGCCCCTTTTTGCATTTATAAGAAACGATTTACAATAAATCGATACTAATATATAAAGCTAAAGAGTTTGTTTGTTTTGAAGACGCTAATCTTAGGAACTACTGGTTCGAATTGAAAAACTATTTTAGTCTTAGTTAGATCATCTATCGAGGAAGGCTTCAGGCTATGAAAACATTATGATGCGACTAATAGGAGCCAAGAAACAGTAGAAAATGTGGAAAAAACGGGGAAGTATGTTCATAGGTGTAGCTTACCGTTGCGTGCGTTGCGAAAACAATATGTATGCAAGATTGAATCCTCTATGATCCAAAAAAATCTTCGCGACAATACATATTTATCTTTTAAGATTAACTCGCAAAAACGACGCAACACGACGCGAACGATGTCGTGGCAACAGTTATAATTAATAGAGTTATACAGGAGGTTTGCAAAAACAAATTTTGGTGGACAAATTAAGTATACTACGCGGACGAATTTGCTGGCACAGCTTGTCTTTCTGTAAAAAGTATCGTCTAATATTAGTTGCTGCTTTGAAATATTTTGTGAAACGTAGATTGGCTTGATACTATCGATGAAGAGTGGCAACCCTGTTGGCTCACGGTGCTTTGCTACGATAGAATAAATATTGGAGTTCTCTTATCGAACGATACCGTGCCATTAACAAGAGGTTTCTCCTGATGGCTTTAAGATTGTTTTTAAACTTATGATTAGGAGACGTAATGCAACTATTATAGTAGTTTCCAAGAAAATGGAGCAGAGATGGGACTTTCTATATGGCTGTCTCTTATAGTTCAAAGCCATATATAAATATAGAGGCTTGTGTGAAATACCAAAGTCTAGCTTTTCAAAGTTAGTAACAATAGAGTCAGCCTAAAGCTAAATTCCTTCCACAATATTGTATGAAGCCTTATGTTTTTATTGTCTGTAATTCGGCGCTGCATCAGTTGCGCTTTATGAGTTGGCAGGAGAACAAATAGCATGCAAAGTGGGTCACTGTTGACAATATTGCCAACATTAGTTTTATATCGGCTCTATAGTACGGAGGCGGCGACAACTTGGAATTTGGCTACGGAAGATATATTTGACTGCAATAACTTTTGTTTAGGAGACGGCGAACGTTCGTCATGACAGTATACCTACTATCAATGTATAGTAATTTATTAATTGCAACATAAAAGCAAAAGATAAGTACTAAATTGCTTTTTCGTGAGGATAGTTGGCTTTGGCTGTAATACTAGTGATACGATACGTTACTATGCATATTGGAAAGAATCGTCGTTCGGTGTCCAGATATTGCAGTTGATGGCTATATAACATCAAAACAACGTAAGAATCCTTTAGATTTTAGGTAGGAGTATCGAAATTCTGTCCTTAGATGAAAACAGCCGTGAAGTTTTATTGCGGTTCCACCACTTTATCCTCCTCTGTCATAAAACAAGTTAAATGAGCAGACCTCACAACCTACACAAATATGTATATTTATTGTTATTAGGTATGTAATAATAGATTTTTATCTGTCTGTTCATTTAATAATTATTGGTTTCGAGTTAATAGAAAAAGCAAGAGCTTGTCCATTTTCGGCTCCTATATGTTTTAATTATAAATATGATTCATAAATCATGTTGAATGTATTTAATAATTATTATTGTATGAAAAACAAGTTTGACGTCGTATCGTAAGCCATTTAACG